GGGCCGGTTGGGAGCGAGCCACGAACTTGTCCATAGCCTGCCCGGAACGAGTGACCAGCTGAGGGGACCCGATGTGAGGTATACCGAGCCGAGTGGAGCCGGGTAAGTGTATTTAATATATCCGGTGAGACGGAGCTCCAGCACACCGCTGCTAAGCCATCAGCGCCGGAACCGGAAGTCCCCCTGACTACTTCTTAATTGGGCATTGAAAGTGAGTGAAAATCTCTCATCTGCTGTGGTAAATCTGTCTCCTATACTTGGCTAAATGAGACTCATTCTGATTGCATCTAATTGTGTTGCTAATTTGTTGATAAATGGCCTGTCTGTGTCTGAATGGACTGGGCCTTCAACTTTGTCTGAGGTCTGTGGGGAAAGAGGCACAATGAGTGAATATGTCTAGGCCTATCTGTACCTCAACAGACAGGGAGCCAGTCCAGCATCTCTCAAATGCAGAGGGTCTCCCTGGCCTGTGTGCCTGGAGTTATCAGACAAGGCTGTGGGACAAATAAACAGGCTGCAAATTATTTGTTGCCTTGTGTGTTGAGCTGGATATACCCCTGTCGTTGCAAAATTCCTGGTAATCTGTTATATGTGAAAATGAAAGTGTCTAGAAAGAAAATGATGACTAGTGAGGGGGCTGACTTGCTGGAAACCAACTATAAAAATGTTTTGCTGTCTTTACTACTGTTGCAGTATTACTTATTCCTGTTTCACTGCTGCTTGGGGCAACACTCAACAGTTTCACCACTTTACCATCAGCCAAAAATGTTCAATACGTAAGCTTGTGTTATAAAGCATTAGCACTTGCCTCACTGTAATAAATTAGTTTACATGGTGTTGACTAAAGCAAACCGGTGCCTTTTTTCTTTTCTTACTTATGAAAGTAAAAATAGTAAATTAAATAACGGCACCTGAGAAGTCCTACCAATAATGTGTACACACCACTACTGTTAAAGACCTTCAGGAGTGTTGCTTGTGTTTAATACCTTCGCTGTTTAAGATTAAACCTTATCTCTTCCTGTTTCAGATGGTGGCCTCTTGTATTCTTGACCGAACTAACAGTAAACAGTTTATTACTGATTATCCCATCATCATTAAACAATTTGTACATTCATATCATATCCCCTCTCAGTCTCCTCTTTTCAAGAGTGAACAGGTTTAATGCATGCAGTCTTTCCTCATAGTTTAGGTCCACTAACCCTTTTATTAGCTTTGTTTCCCTTCTCTGGACTCTCACCAACTCAAGGACATCCCTTCTGTGGATTAGTGGATTAGAGACCAAAACTGCATACTCAAGATGTCGCCGAACCAGTGTTTTGTACAGAGGCAGAATTATGGATTTGTCTTTACAGTATATTCCCTTTTTGTAACCAACATTCCTCTTTTGAAAGCATTGCTATAGAGTTGTATGAATGCAGAAAACACTATAAAATTTACGTCATTTTCAGGCCTAAAATGTGGAATATAACATGGGTGCAAAAAATGAAACAAGGGCCTCAGTCATGAAGGGGTTAAGGGTTTTTTTGTTTTTGTTTTTCAATGCCCTTGTGCACACCCTAAAAGCAATGAAATTCTCATGTGCAAACATTTTATCAGAGGTAGACAAATCAGCTAAATGATTCTTAGCACTTGCCTAAAGGCAATAGGAAATACATTAATTATTATGGTAGCTATGATAATTAGCACAGAATGGTGTTGCCTAAAGCAGACAGGTGCTTACTTTGATTTTTCAACCTGTACTACAATAAAAGATGGAAGTACAGAGGTTCCTATGGGCAAAACCTTTCCTTTGCTCTAGATCAGGGATAGGCAACCTCGGCACTCCAGCTGTTGTGGAACTACAAGTCCCATGAGGCATTGCAAGACTAACAGCCACAGGCAGGTCTCCCAGAGACAGATGCATGATGGGATTTGTTGTTTCAGCACAGCTGGAGTGCCGAGGTTGCCTACTCCTGCTCTAGATTAAGAAAGTCCCAGTGTATAAATGTAGCAACGGTGATTAAATTACTTCTATTGTTTGTACTTAAAGGATATAAAATCACCTTTCTTGCCATGTATTGTAGATTGCAAAAAGAGTAAATGTAAAAGTATTTTTTTGATCATTTTAACATTTAAAAAGTGAAGCATTTGTATGTTTATTTTTCCAGCTCACTTTGGGAAGTAATAACCAGTTGGCTGAGAAGGTCAGATTACGGCTTCAATATGAAGAGGCAAAGAGAAGGTAATTTCTGTTTGTTTTTGATGGCACATATTTTTCTGTACAAGTTTGTTGTTATTAGAGAGACTAGATAAGGAACAAGCACTTGTTTGTAACCCTGCATTCTTATTATACTATACTATACCCAGTCAATTATTACATTTTTTTGCCAAGTTCAAAAAGATTTAAACTATGAGGGTTATTCACAAAACTACCAAAGTGAATATTGTAAATAGCCCGTACAGCCCGTGAATAGCCACACAGCATCCCTTTGGTGCGACTGAACCGAAGCTACGGCTGGATCCTTCGGCTCTTTTGTGAATAACCCTCTATGTTAATGTCATTGGGGATTCATCTCCCATGGCACAGGGACTTTGGGTCGCTAGTAATTAAAGGAGAACTATGGGGTTCTATCTTTTTTTTATGAATGCATTCCTTAGGCTAATTAAGTAAATAATGTAATTTACTGTAATTAACCAAAATGCACAGGAAGGCTGTAAAACCTTATTTTAGGTGGTGAGCGGGGCTAAGCGCCGCAATGAGAAGACATCCCGACTTATCTGACGGGATCCTCCCCACTGATGATTGACAGTGATTCTTGAGAGCTGCGAATATATGGACATGCGCAGCAGCTCTCTCCTTACCTGCACATCCCCGTGTGCCAGCTCCTTCCCCACTCTCTCTTTCTCTCCCTGCTGACACGATCTCCTGTCAGCTCGGCTCTGCCGCTGAGGAGAGGATTCGCCGTACAGGCTCCTATGTTCCTCCGCCCACCTCTGCTGCTATTAGCTGGGAGGGAGAGTGCAGCACTGTCATTGGCTGCCTGGGTATTTGTCAGCAGAGCGGGAAAGGAACCTGCAGACTGCAGAGGAGGCACAACAAGGCTGCTTGGGGCTGCACATGGATGGAGGAGACATTGATGCTCCCACCACCACAACCACCACCACCTGGAGAGGAAGAAGAGGGCCTGCCACATCAAGAGGACAGAGCACATCACCACTGTAAGTGCCTTTTCTATCTTACACCACTGACCTTCCCACAGCGTCACCTTGCTGAGCTCCGCACTGCGTCACCTTACTGACCTCCGCACTGCAACACCTTATTGACCTCCGCACTGCGACACCTTACTGACCTCTGCGCACTGCGTCACATTACTGTCCTCTGCGCACTGCGTCGCATTTTTGACCTCCCCACTGCGTCATCTTATTGACTTCCGCACTGCATCACCTTACTGACTTCCGTGCACTGCGTTACCTTACTGACTTCCGTGCACTGCGTTACCTTACTGACTTCCGTGCACTGCGTTACCTTACTGACTTCCGTGCACTGCGTTACCTTACTGACTTCCGTGCACTGCGTTACCTTACTGACTTCCGTGCACTGCGTTACCTTACTGACTTCCGTGCACTGCGTTACCTTACTGACTTCCGTGCACTGCGTTACCTTACTGACTTCCGTGCACTGCGTTACCTTACTGACTTCCGTGCACTGCGTTACCTTACTCTTCCGTGCACTGCGTCACCTTACTGACTTCCGTGCACTGCGTCACCTTACTGACTTCCGTGCACTGCGTCACCTTACTGACTTCCGTGCACTGCGTCACCTTACTGACTTCCGTGCACTGCGTCACCTTACTGACCTCCGCACTGCACCACCTTACTGACCTCCGCACTGCGCCACCTTACTGACCTCTGTGCACTGCGTCACCTTACTGACCTCTGTGCAAAGCGTCACCTTACTGACCTCCGCGCTCTGCGTCACTTTACTGACCTGGGCGCTCTGCGTATCTGTACTGACCTCCGCGCTCTGGAGAGAGATGGGCACAGTGGCAATGGAAGAGCCAGATTTGGGGGGCTTATTTTCTGGAAGTGCCCCTCCCGAGACTAGACTCTGGATCCGCCCTTGCTTACAATTCACTTGGACATGAGCCTAACAGTTAGTGATCACCCATTCCATATGGCCATTAAAATGGATCATGGGTAAAACAATCAAATTGGTATACTGTCAAAAATGCTTTAAGTCATATTTTGGTTCAGTAAAGTTGTAGTTAAGCCTGTAACTTTTAATAGAAGCCGTGTTCCATTAATGAAATGATCATTTACAGATATTATACTGTACCAGATATAATAATGCAGCCTATACCTCCTATACGTTATTGGATTCATTTTCTGAAAGAACAAATTACTTGCAGATAGGATGTAAAACTGGATAATGGTAAACATATGTGTATAGAGAGTTTTTAACTTACTAAATAGAGCCCATAATTCCTGGCTGCAGGAAAATTAGTTCATTTATCAGAAACTTGTATAACTGAAGTCTACAATTGTACATAAGCAAATGTTTCAGTAGCTTTACAAGATGACAGTTAGGCAGCCTCCTTAATGGTGTTTGGTTTGCTTTAGCTCCGAAGGTTGAGTTAAACATAGGTGAATATACACTGTGGTGTTTAAGAAGATAGAGACTGCCACTATATTATAACTCATTCATGTTTGATTGTGATGCTTTTCTTCAAATGTCCTGATTATGCTATTATTTTCAATTTGCCTTGTTATTGGAGCAATTCTGTTTTTCCATTAACAAATCTGGATGGTTCTTTCTTGTTATCCTAAAGATCATGTATAAAGTAGTTTGCTCTGTATCTGCTAAAACTTGTAATGTGGTAATGCTAAAGAGAGCACGGTAAAACCCTACAGGGCCTGAAACAAACAGTTATTGCTTTCTATGAAGACAACAAATATGCAGTAATAAACTGCATGGAATATAAAAGTGACTTTACTTTATGCCATTCAGCATTCTTTGTTACTTCTTGTGGTTTTAGGATTAGCCTGTGTCATCAATATAGGAGACAATGGCCCCATTTTCAGGTCTGGCTGCATTCGCTTGTGTTCCTTAGAAGATCAATAGATATATTTCATGTGAGCTGGTTGGTCAGAGTTGGAAAATCACCCATATACATCAGTCTCTCTGCATCCATTTTCCCAGGCTAGAGTAAATATAATCAGAATGTGAAATTATGCAGTTAGAGTATGGAATTTGAAGATAAACTGCCTCCTTTTAATAAAGGTAAAGTAAAACATTTGTTTACATCTAATCATAGGATATACAATATAAAAATACAGCTGTCAAAACTGGACAGTGAAGCTTGGCCTGGTGTTCTTGATTCTGAGCGTGATCGACTGATCTTAATAAATGAGAAAGAGGAGCTCTTAAAAGAAATGCGCTTTATTAGTCCAAGAAAATGGAGTCAGTCTGACGTGGAACGACTAAAGACTGAGAAGAAACAATTAGAAGAAGATTTGCAAGCTGCAAGATATACCCAAAGCAAAGCACTGACTGAAAGGTAAGGTGTTAACGGAATCAGCTATTGCTTGTGTTGATCCTTATGTTACTTAAGTCAAGTTGAAAAAAAAGGTACATGCTCATAGAATTGAACAAAAAAAAGCAAATAAAAAAACAAACACTTTATATCTTTAGAACTTAAACCCCAAGTTTGGGCATTTTTTTAAAATAGTCTCTCAGCAGGAGTTTAAAACTAAAAGCAGATCTGCAGTATTCACCTACTTTTCACAGTGTCCCCTGCAGCAATTTAACACCAGCAGAAGATATTCTCAGTCTTCCAGGTTCAGTGATGGCCAGCATCATTCAACCTGGAAGACCGAGGACATACTGTGTGTTCAGAGAGTCATAGACAAGGACAAAGAGGACTCTGCACATCATGTGAACAACTTGAATAAAGTTTCAAACAAAATATAGTTGGGAGTCTTTAGGCCCCTCTAGGGCGAAAAGTACAGTGGGGCAGGAGGGGTGAGCCTGGAGTTTGGCTTGGCAAACAGTGTTTGCTTTTTTTAAGTTTATGAACATGTGCCTTTTTATGAGAGTACTAGTATTAGTTTAGATTTTACCCTGAATTTCTAAAACAATATGTTGCAAATCAGAGTTTCTGTGAATTCCCCACTTCCCCTTTCCTGCAAGAAGTACAATAAAAATTTGGAATAAAACTTGGAATGCATTTGAAAGCCAGAACACTACAATGCATAGCACTGTGCTAGCACAGTTTGGTGTTGCAGGAAATATTATTGTAATCACACAATGTATGCTGTCCTGCAAGGATTTGCATCTTGTTTATGCTGACTAAAGATGACGGCTTAATCCTGGCATTGCCAAGAAAGCTTTTATAACCTTCTATAATAGCAGGTCCAACAGATGCAAACAAATCTTTTTCCTTTTCTATGTACATTTTTTGCCTTTGCAAGCTCCAAAAATGAACTGTTGAACTGTGATGGAGAAAACAAACATACCCCTGCATAACTCATGATTTAACTCTATTTAAGTAAGTGTTACTTGTTGAATCTTGAAAGGTTTTCTTTTAGCAGTGATTGTTAAAAATGATTCCTATAAATAATTATTGTAGCAAGTACTCTTTTACTGACTTTTTGTAGAATGCTACCCAAGCACATTCATTTTGTGTAAAGACATACAAAAGAAGGTATTACAAATGTCTATGTATATATCTCTGATTTTTGACATGAGGAAAGGACAATAATGCCATAGAAACTACGCATATTTTATTCTTTTTCCAGACACCAGCAAGCAATTTTGTAAATAAATGGAAAAGTTAATGCTTTTAAAGTTCGCTAGACAAAAGGAAGGCACACAGATTAAAAATCATATAGCAGTATCTCAAGTGTCTGGCAGTTTAACTGTCAAAAAAAGGGGGGTATTCTGTGATAAAGGATCACTGAAAGAAGTTGTTACCAAGAAGACTGGGACAGGTTTGAAAAGTAAAAAAATTAATTTTATTGGTATTTCATTAAAATTAAGATAGCACCATTACATTGCCTTCCTTCATGATTTTAAAAGAAGACAAAAGTTTGTCTGCGGCTTACATACACTCTCAATTTCAGAACAATGGGCCCCACACACACATTGCAAAAATCGGTCAGCACAGGAAAAACGAAAAAGGGGGACGAAAATTCTGGTGGAGTTTCAAAGAAACAATCATTAGCAAAGGAAAAAACAGGAATTAAGAGGGATCGAAAAGTGCATTAACTCTTTTACAACCGGCTAGTACATTTTCATCTCAGCTGGCGCAAATTGAGCCATACCCATCACCCTTTTTCGTTTTTCCTGTGCTGACTGATTTTTGCAATGTGTGTGCGGGGCCCATTGTTGTAAAAGTGAGAGTGTATGTAAGCCGCAGACAAACGTTTGTCTTCTTTTAAAATCATGAAGGAAGGCAATGTAATGGTGCTATTTTAATTTTAATGAAATACCAATAAAATTATTTTTTTACTTTTCAAACCTGTCCCAGTCTTCTTGGTAACAACTTCTTTCAGTGATCCTTTATCACAGAATACCCCCCTTTTTTTTTGTTAAAATTATGTTACAAGACTGAGCAGACGGTACTATACATACGCCGCTAATAGGGGTTAAACTTCTCTGGTTTTTGATCTCCGGAATACCATTGCAAAACAGTTTAACAGTCTCCTGGCATTGATTAAGAAAACCAATCATAATCTTAAATGGGTTAATATTGCTCAGAGCATGTCCAGCTTTGACTATGTTTTAAAGGTAAGGGCCTGCACAGTTGCCACATTCTTAAAGCGCCTTTGGCAGGAAGATACACCTACATATTTGCTGGATTGTGCAGCAAATCATGCTCTAAAAAAAGAGGGGCCCAGTGCTGAATGGAACTGGGTCCTTTCACCATCGGTGCTCCAGGAAAAGATGTTGACATGGGTGTTTATGTTCCATCAGCTTCTCCCCCTTATGAAGGGCAAGTAGGTTTTCATCCTCTCCCTGCAAACCATTGTCACTAAAGCATGCTTAAAGAGCATGCTTGTTTTCAGCTACTATTTGAGCCATCCCTTATTAAGGTAACAAAATCATAATCAACCCCTTCCCTTTGGAAGCAATACAAAGGTGGGTAATCAAAACTTAATTGTATGCCATTAAAAAGGTCTACAAGATAAAAGATGATAATAATATAATAAAATATCCTTTGATTTAAAATATTCAGGTACCACCTGCAATAATGCATGTAGTGTGGCACTGAAAATCTGTGGCAAAAAAAGCAAGGTTTTTATTAAAATTGCAACAGTTGCAATAATAATAGCCTCAAATGTTTACTGTAACCATTGAACATACACTGAGTGGCCAGATTATTATGACCACCCCATCAGTACTTCGTTGGGCCGCCTCGTGACTCCACGAGATGTTGAAAGGTGATGCAAGGAATCTGACACTGCACTGTTGCCCTTCTGTTGTCTTGTACCAGTCTTGCCACTCTCGGTTCTGCCCTAACATTGACTAGTCGCTGACGGCCACAATTCGCACGTTCAGACCCAGATTTTCGGCTGTCAGTCCCCTTTCGGCTGTGAGCCCCTCTTGAACATTTAACGAATTCTGCTGTTTTGCTGATACTCGCTCCATGGCTCGCGCCAACAATCATCCCACGTTCAAAGGCTGTTAAATCGCGTTGTTTACCCATATCTTCAGAAAAAAATCACTTCTACTGTCTTGGTAAACAACCTGCTTCCCTATTTATAATGGTCTGGCCCTCTAGCAACTTCAGCGCGAAATTATAGCTAATTATAGCTAATTTGCCTACAAACGTCAGGTGGTCATAATAAACTGGCCACTCGGTGTATAAAGTACCTTTACTTTGGGTAAATAGCAACATATTAATGTATCCATTTAAATGCAAGTACAATAGAACTGTCAGGATTTAAACGATATTTCTTGTCTCTTCTTGTTTTTCATTATGGACACATCTTAAACATCTAAAAACCCCAGGATAATTACTATGTAGCATCAAAGTTAATGGCTGCTCCATTCTACAAACTTAATGGAGAACTATGGGGTTAGGGCTTTTCCCCATAGTTCTCCTAAGGTCACCCAAAGCTCAGTATACCGTGAGCTACAGCTCGCGGTATACTGAGACGCCGCTCCTGAAACGGATCCCGACAATTATGTCTGGATCCACCCAGCTGCACGAGTGACAGCTGGCTCTGTCTATCTAGAGGCAGAGCCAGCTGTACCCGCCCACTCCCCCGTCCTTTCCGCCAGTCAGCGCTGGAGGATCGGACAGGGGGGGAATCCAGTCCCTTCCCTGTCACGGCTCTCTGCAGTGACAGGATCGAGAAGTGAGCGAGCGCCGCTGTGTGCTCGCTCACTTCCCGATCTACTGAGCCGACCTGTGACGGTTTCATTGTCACAGGTCGGCTAGACCTATGAGGATGAGTGAAAATCACTCACCTCATAGTTCTCCTTTAATCTACAACAATGTTCATTCAGGTCGTCTTAAAGTTACCCTGGTATCACTGGGTCACCTCTTAATTAACCTCAGTCTGTAAAACAAGACTACCTATACCAGGACTGTCCCTATGGTATTCCTCGCCTTTGTCTGATGTCCCACCCAGCTCACTGACTTCACTGGTTGCCAGGAGCTCGGTAGGGCGCAAGCCGGAGAGTCCCACTCAGTTCTAGGCAACCAGTGACATCAGTGAGCTGGGCGGGATGCCAGACAGTGCTTTACACTTTGCTAAGAGCTCTTAGCATCTGAGGCAATGTGGCCGTCAACCAGTATGACAAATATAAGCAGTACTCTTTGGAAATGGTAAATAGAAATATTATTGTATGGCTATCATGAATAATTTCGAAACAAACATAACTGTGTATATTTTAAAGTCCACCAAAAAATAATATGGAAAAAGCTAGTGCTGGCAAATTTTAAGTTTGAACAGGGAACAGGTGGCCATCTAGTGGCCAAACACCATTTAGACAACCATAAAAATATATTGCAATGCACTACAAAACATTATACACTTGTGACTAGTGCTACCGTTGTGTGGGAAGAGGTAATACCATCACCCTATTAGTATAATCAAAATGAACTTGAAAAGAATAGCATTGGTTTAAGTGGTGAGGAATTTTTTGGATACAAAACGAAAAACAACACTGGAAATTGATAACAACAGAAACATTGAAGACTATTGATGGAATTTGAAGATAGAACAATAATATTACTAAGCATGCCTCCAGAATAGAAGACTGAAAATACAGTAGAGCAATGCACAGCAGGTGAAGAGGTCATTAAAATAGGGAGACAAGCTTTTATGGGCCTTGTGTACCCTATTTCTTTATTTATTTGTACTGGTTTTGGACAGAGATATGCTGATGAGACAAAAAAATATATTTCTAAGGGAAAAAGATGCTGATGGGGGACCACCACCTCCAGCCCTCTGAACTGTGTTTACAGCATCTCACCCTCTTTTCACACTTGTTGACAACACATGTGTACATACTATGGTAAGGCCTGTCATGTGAGTACAAAGTCTGCTACTTAACCAAACCTTTTTAAGTCTGCTTATAGTCTCACTGCTACCATTTAAAATGACCATTGCACCCCCGAGTACCCTCAGGCCTTTTACCATCTTAGCAAGGCCCCTTACATTAGACCAAGAAACATTTCTTACTCCTGTGCCCAAATATTAATCTGTCACCTCTATTATTTGTTGTTGAATTAGGATATGTAATGTGGGTGTTTAGTGGCTCCATTAACAACAGAATGTTTGATATGATAAACATCTGTTTATCATATCAAACATACGCTTATCAGTCATCACACACAAAGGATGCACTCAACCACATCATTTATAATTGGATTTTGTCTCTTAGTTGTTTGCTTACCTTTGAGCAATCCTTTGTTTTTCTATTCTGCTACATTTTGTGTGAAACATTATCTGTGATATGCCTTTTTATATGTGTTCAGTGAGAACAGCAGATCAATATACTCTTTTTTTTCCATTGTATCAGTTAAAACCATCTAATTGAGCTCAGTGTTGGTAGAAGAACCCCTGCTGTGAATATGATATACAATTTACCCTTCCGTTCCCAACAAACGTGGTACTTTTCTTCTTGTCTAGAACAAAATGACCGACTTTCTTCTTGACGTTTATAAGAATAAATAAAAGCCATCCCCTTCGAGTATGTTGTCTAAATCTAGTTTGTATTACAGGGCCAGGGAAACCCAGGCAGTTTGTATTTTTTGCTACTGAGAAATGTTACCACTTATCGACAATTATGTTGTTAGCTGAGAATACCAATAATACATACCGTATATACTCGAGTATAAGCCGTCCTGAATATAAGCCGAGGTACCTACTTTTACCACAAAAAACTGGGAAAAAATATTGACTCGAGTATAAGCCGAGGGTGGGAAATGAGGCAGCTACTGGTAAATGTACAAAATGAAGATAGATACCAATAAAATTACATGAATATTTATTTAAAAGAAAAACAATAACCTAGCTCTGTAAGTGGAAAAGGGGGTACAGGGCTACATATCATGTACTACGGATCATTTAACCCATTCATATTAGCAGAGGATAATTGTAAATCTATTGTTCAGTGCATTCTATATGTAGTATATAGTACATGTACATATAGAGTGCCTGCAACAATACATTTACAATGATCCTCTGCTAACATGAATGGGTTAAATGATCCATAGTACAGGGCTACATACAGATCATTTAATACATTCATGTTAGTATAATTGTAAATGTATTGTCTGCACTGTATTAGCAGTATATACTCTATATAGAGTATATACTGCTAATACAGTGCAGACAATACATAATTGCTAAATAATCCCCCCAAATCTCCCCTCACTCACTGTGCTTCGGCGAGGTAAGTAAGAAGAAACCTGACCACTGAGACGCTGACTTGAGTATAAGCCGAGGGGGGCACTTTTCAGCACAAAAAATGGGCTGAAAAACTCGGCTTATACTCGAGTATATACGGTATAAATATATGCACACGGCAACAAAATATTTACCCAGCACCTTCATAGATTATATTAACATGCATGTGCTAAATCAAATACAAAACAAAAGAACTCTACACTTCAGATAATGCTTGCCAGAAATGCTGTTCTAGTGACTGGTTAGTACATTTGGTACGGCATTTTAAAAATATGTGCTTTGGAAATTCCAATTTTAGTTTCCTAAGGGTGTTCTAGGCAGCCCACTATGAATTAGTTCACATTGCAAATACAGATAGCTAACAGTGTTTTACAGAAAAAGTATAAGTACAAAACTAAACTGTTATATTCCTAAAAATATACTACATTTGTCTCATTTTATCTCCTATCAAGTGAATCTATAACTTTGTCTAACATGGGCAAAGTACAAGTACACGTAAAGGACAAAACTACAGTCAATTTTAATGTCTGAAATGTGTAGGACAATTTAAAATGGTTACCAGTTTGTTTGGCTCTTCTTATTGCTGATTTTTTTTAAACAAATCAAATATTACTACCCAAGCATTATAATAATCTTCTAAAATATTTCATTTTTCTTATATCAGGTTAAAGATGAGCAGTAAAAGGAATAATTTGGTTAGAGAACTGGAAGAGACAACCAGGTTAATTGCAACGCTGCACATGCAACTGAAAAGGTATTTACAGCATATTACTGATTGTAAAACTGTATACTTTATATACAATTCAAGGTATATTCAGTGGAAGTCTACGACACTCTTTAGAAATCTATTGTGCTTCTGCACAATAACTGTGGATACTTGTTTTAAACAGGTACATGAATCTGGAGCAAGCACTGGCATTTGTGTTGCGGAGGCATAATGGGGCCGCAGTGTCCATACCAGACACTCTGTCCTCAGCACCGCTCAGTAATGCTGAGCCTGATAAAATTACAGGCTCAGTATTACTTAGCTCCCGCTCAGGCATGTGCAGTGGTAGAAGATTTATACTTTGGGTTGTCAGAGCCAGACAGGGACTTCAGAGAACTGAATTCTCCATTAGGTCTGCTCTGCTGGCAGTGGGTGGGTGCCATAGCCAATAGCAGGCTGGCTATGGCACGCATCTACTACCTGCTATCAATCTGCAGCAGAACGGACCAGATGGAGAACTCAGTTCTCTGAATTCCCCATCATGCTCTGCCCCCACCAGCAGTGAGCATCACTGGTTGTTAAGGAAGCCGTCGACTACAGCCGACAGTGTCCTTAACAACCAGTGATGTTGATAGTGGACAGAGCCTGATGGGGAATCAAGCTCCACCCACCGTCAACATCACTGACAGTGGGAATCACTAGTTGTTAAGGAAGCTGTTCGCTTTAGCTGTGGGGAGTGGGCGGAGCCTGATGGAGAATCCCCTCTGCTGCTGATTGACACCTGGTAGTGGGTGGGTGCCATAGCCAATAGCAGGCAAGTTATGGTACCCTCCCACTGCCGGCTGTCAATGAAATGTAACAAGGGGAGATTTCTGTCTGACAACAGTACTCAAATATAGCCATATTTGGGTAATGTGATCAGCCAGCATCCCCAGCCCCTATGTTTACATTCAGCTGCTGGCTGGGGAATCTTACGGCTGGCAGATAAATGGGGCCGGGGCAGCATAATTGATTGCTAGTACTCCGGTGGCCCAGTGTCCTAGTAACCAATAAACAGGGAACTGTCAGATTCATTCCCCCAGCACATACATGCCCCGCTCTGAGCACTAACATCTCTCTATACACCAGATCATAGTTGGTCATATTTACCCCCAGTTTTCCAAACTGTAAACACTTGGTAATTCTTTTTGAATCTGTTGCAGCCTTAGCGACAGATTCTTAAAGTGGCGGTATCAATAACTACTTAAATCTCTCTGTAAATCTACCGAAACTGGCATCAGGGCTTTTTTGAATCTATCTCAGGACTTTTTAAAGATCCATGCTGCCAGAAAAGTGCCATTAAGGCTTTATTGAATTCCCCTAATTGTGGTAGACAGTGTCTAGAACTATTACACATGGAAAGTATATGAATTCCTGCACACGAGAGATGCCCTGCTGTAACAATCAAAGAATGAATGGCGAGTGTTTATTGATTTATTATTAAAGGAAACCTGTGCTGAGAAACATATAGATCTAAAGGCTTTAATATGTTGTTATGACTTCAGTTGCTGCATGCTTGTTCCAACTCTGTAAAAGCCAACCAAAACATTATTTTGGATAAATGTTTAAATAGCTAAGAATGTATATAAAAAAACAGCACTTTTAAATGGTTTCTGCAATGTGACACTGTATACTTAAAAAAGTCACTATGAATATGGGTGTAACATGAAACATGGTATGAAAGGTAAAATTAGCCTTTAAGATCACAAAACGCTGCTGACAGGTAGAAAGTACAGCCAACTAGCTTTCAGTCACCTTTGCTTTTCCCAAACACCAGGCCTTTCTGACTGGGCAAAGCTTTGGTACTTTCTTATAGGGCTGAACCATGCCTGCTGTGTTTTATTTTTCATGAATATGCATTCTTAGTTATTTGAGTGTTTACTGTTTTTTTTAGAGGGTATTTCATATACAAATTTGTAGACTTTTTATTGTGACTTCCCATATTTCACAAAAATTCAGTTGTTACTCCTTCTAAATAGCTTTTAAGATTAAAGGAGAACATCAGGAAAAAAATGTATTCACCCTTGTAGTGGGGCTACCCCCGAACTGCAAGAGTTAAGTGCTCGTTCGTGTTTAGGTGCTAAAAAAAAAGTTGTACTCAGCAGACCACTTGAGCCGGCTTGTTCTTAGACCGGTGTCTGCAGCGCTCTAAGGATCCTGGTGTCATCACGCATTATACACTGGGCATAGACTATGTATTGACTTAAGGATGCTGAGGATTAGTCCATCTGTGCAGCGGAGGAGGAGACACGCTTCAGTGATCACTGAAGCAGGGAGCCAGCTCGGATGGTCTGGTGAATACAACTTTTGTTTTAGCACCTAGACAAAAAATGAGCAGTGGGGTAACCCCACTGCAATGGTTAATACATTTTTTTAACTGGAGTTCGTCTTTAAGCCAATTACAGGATATGTCACAGAGGTTTGTATTGCTTTCAGTCAGCCTAAGGAGACTGATAGATTGTCAGGGAGAGAGGGTGAGTAAAACACCATTCCTGTACAGCAATAAGCATTGAGCAAAGCTCTATAGGTTGAACTCGATGGACTTGTGTCTTTTTTTCAACCTATGTAACATGTAAAGTCAGTATTTGTTAAATACAAATATGACTGCCCACATGTATAATTCAAATCTATATAGAAAAACATTTGTATAATGATAATGCTTATCCAAACAGATAAGTCTGAAGCAGTAGTCCCTATTTAAAGTAGATCATATGTAAAAAAAGATCAATATGCTTAAAAAGAATCTTACAAATATGCAGTCATTTGATTCACAAAGAAAACAACCTTAACGAGAACATACCTAAAATGTAACTCCACTCTTGTGGACAAAAAGCAATCCTCTCAAGGTCTGTTTTGTACGTTGCAAGGATTTCCACAAAACTTTTTTCCAGAGTTTATCTGCTGCTGTTCTGCAAACCAATACATGCATTTCCAGGTAATACTTTGTAAAGGGGGTCTGCCTGCTATAAAGACAAAACAAGTCCCAATATTTATTTTTATTTTTTTACTTTATGTGTACTTTACAAAGTGTATGCTCCATTCAGGTCTCCGCACCGCAGCACACCACACTGCGGTGCGGAGACCTGAATGTCTTTGTGTGGCAGTGATGAATGGCACACTGTAGTCTTAGTTTGCTTTCAATTTTCCAATGGCAAGTTAAACTCCTTAATTATCATTTAATAATAACCCAAATTTTGCACCTTCAGAACTCAGATCAGTCCGGATTTCTGCACCTTCAGAATCCAGATCCGCCCCATTGCATACACTTCTGACCTCTGATCAGCCCCAATGCATGCACCTCAGACCTCAAATCAGCCCCACAACCTTCATCTTTAGACCTCAGGTCAGCCTCAAACTCTGTGCCTTCAGAACAGCAGGGTACCGTTGTAGGCATGCAGGCAGATTTATTTCGCACAGCATTTAGATGTAATCAACTGGCGACTGGCTTTCAGTTACATAAGGGAGGTGGGTAGGTCTGGCTTTGTGATTGACCGTCTATTGAGCTGTCAGCTACAGCCAGTGGCAGTGGTGCCAGCACAAAAGGTGTTGTGTTCCCAACCTGGTGTGTTCCACAGGGTTGCAGATGTCTGAGGTACATGGCTTGTGTTACTATCTCTTTCCATTTTTCAAGTTGCTATTTTCTATTGTCTAAATAAACTCAACTAAATAACCCAAAAATAAGCAAAATACACTGGGGGGAATTTATCAAAACTGGAGCAAACAGAATCTGGAGCAGTTGCCCATGGCAACCAATCAGCTTCTCTCTGTAGTGCAAATCTGCTCCACATTTTGTCTGCGTCAGTTTTGATAAATTCCCCTCACTGTGTATTGGACATGAGGATGCTAAGGGACATTTTAATGCTGCAGTGGAGGAGGAGAGAGGCTGGAGGGGGTGCTCTAACAGACAGCTGGCTGTGAGGATCATGTGAGTGTACCTTTGTTTATTTTAGCACCTAGACAGAAATGAGCACTTAACCCTTGCAGTTTGGGGGTAGCTCCACTGCAAGGGTTGATAAAATTTTTGCACAGTGCGCTTCTTTAATTTAAAAAGGAATGTCACAGTGAGGGGGTTTGACTTGACTTTATTTAAACAAAGCCATGTCACACAGTGATAGGGCGTGAGAAGGCTTTGTTTACACAAATCAACATCTTGCGGAATTCTGATCTTTTTAACACTAGAAGCTTGTTTGGACCAGTAATGTAGTAAATAAATAGTTAAGACTGTATATTTTTTTAAATGAATGGTATAATTAGAAAACTTATTATACACAGTATTGTATTCAAAATGTATAGTTCTACTTATCATTCTAGTCACCTTATAATTGTATGTGTCATTGATCCTGCAACTGGATAGTTGTACTGAGGAATAGAATTACTTATGCTTCTTCCGTTTGTAGTATAGACGTCACTGTACAAGAACTTTATCAAAAGGCTATTAAGCTCCATGATATATCTGAGGTTGCATACAAGACATAATAAAGAAGAAGTCCAGGAAAATGTGTATTAAGCCTTTCAGTGGGGCTACACTCGCACTGGAAAGGGTTGTTTGTTTCTAGGACAAAAATAACAAAGTTATACTCACCCAAAGCTCTGAGCCAGCCAGCTGTCACAACATTCCCTCCAGCCTGTCTCCTCCTACGCTGCAGGGTTGGAATGTTCCTCAGCATCCTCACGTCTATACACAGTGTTTAGAATGTGATGATTTACAGAACCTTAGACCACTGCAGTGGAGGGGGGAGAGAGGCGAGAGGCTGGAATGACCAGTCTAAGAGCAAGCTGGCTCAGAGGATCAGGTGAGGGTGTGTGTGTGTATATATATGTATATACATATATTTATTTTACCCTAGACAAAAACGAGCAGGTAACCCTTACAGTGAAAGAGTTGCCCCACTACAAGCGATTATAAAAAATGTTTCCTGGAGTTCTTCTTTTAACAGTGAGAAAAACTATGGTGAGCACTGAGAAGGAATATAAACCTGAAGAAAGATGTGTTATTTAGTCTAAAGTCTAACAGCAGTAATATTTTTTTTAGTCATTACTAAATGTTTATAATAATTTGTAAGGCAAGTAAATTGGATAAGTGATGATTTTATATTAGTTTAAAAAATGTTTAACCCATCTAATTCTTATTTGTTTTCAGTCTCTCTACTAGCACTCAGTCACTTTCATCTGGGAGCAGTCCTGGATCTCTTGCTTCTAGTCGGGGATCTCTGGTCACCTCTAGTCAGGACTCTTCAACATCAGCAAGCTTTACGGATCTGTACTGTGAACCTTTGGATCAGTTAGATACAGAATACCAGAACAAAGTTGAATTTATGCTACAAGAAGGGACATCAGGTTATAGACCATCTGACTCTATCACCACCATTCATGAAAATGAAGTGGTAAAAACTCAAAAGACAGATTCAACAAACCGTGTCCAGGCCTTGAGGTCTTTGTCTGGTACTCCTAAATCTGTGACATCTCTATCTCCTAGGTCTTCTTTTTCCTCTCCATCTCCTCCTTCTTCGCCACTTGTAACAGGCTCTCTTTTCACTGGAGATGATTTCTTGAGCCATATGGACTTTAAAGATTTTGATTTAAGTAGACAATTTTCAGAACTTGGTTTTGCTGCTGAGGCAGTAAAGAAGCAAGTAGAAGGAAGCTATAAACATGAAATAGAAGGAAAACCTGTTGCACAAGGTAAAAAAAAGAAGCAACACAAAATATACTTATATATTGTATATATGTGTGTGTGCGTGCGTGTGTATATAGGAGATTACTTTTTTTCTCAGTGACCACAAACGTATTCAAGAGTTCCCTAGCGTACATGTTCACATTTTCATCAGATTCTGTAAAATGTTAAAACACAAGCTATACTGGATCCCTGTGCTTTATGTTCTTGCCTACAAATTAGTTTTTGCATGCAAACTACAGTTTTAGAATGTATGTAAACCCAAAAACAAAAGTGTATTATATTACAGCCTACCAGTCCTTAGATGTGGTGGCTGTGTTAGGGTTTTTTTAGGCTTTTTCCATTATTTTTATCTGGTAATCCTTCCAGTCACATATTTCCTGCCCTAGAATGACAATGCTCACTCACTTCACCTTACATATGCAGGAGTAATGCTATTACCCTAGGCTGCTCTCCTGATTTGGGTCTCCTCTTTCTTCATCTCCATTACATAGGGAGATGTTCTTTAGTTCACAGAAGATATTTGGGGTGGCTGATAACATTGTTTCAAATATCAGTTCAGTGCACAAGTTACAATGACACTGAAATTCTGGCAAGATTAACTGGTATTTTTCTATACTTGCAAAAATGGGCATAGCTAGGAAAATATAATTAATGCAACTACCACATTTAGGAGCTGGTAAGCTAAAATGTATTTTTGTACTTGGGTTTAGATACCCTTTTCAAACACACATCTGAAATGAATATTTGCTTTTCTAACAAAAGAATAAGAATAACAACAAAGTCCTCATAGTTATCAACACTTGCTCTCTCTCCCCTTTTGGGAAATCATTTGCCCCAGTAAATTGGCTAGAGGCTTGCACTTACTGGGCTATGTTTTAAGATCAAACCTGAACAGTGTTCATTCACAGATTATTACATAGTATTTATATAGCGCCAACAGTTTGCGCAGCGCTTAACGTACCGTGTGACATACCGTGCAGTGATCTTGACAAGTAGATTAACAAACTCTCAAAGCTCAGATCCCCAAGGAAGCACTCAATTACCTTTTGGAATGTGGCTGGGCTACTGGGCAGGCCAAGGTGCATTAATCTGCATAACCAAGTCACATATTCAAGTGCATCACATTGGTGGTTTTTGGCTGGTCCCTTCCAGTCTATGGTGGTCTGGTAAAGTGTCTAAATTAAGGTAGGGTTGTGGCTTTAACAGTTGCTTCTGGATCCAGTAAGGTAAAATAAGCCATACAAACTGAATGGCTGTGTGAGGTTACACTTGGAACTGGAACACTTAACCAGGAGGTTGGATAGCTTGTGATGTACTCCATGAGGGAAGACTTTGGGTCAGTATCAAAGGACTTTTGTCTACTTCAGAACTGCTTCTGTCCCCATACAAGGTAATGTAAAAGTTGTTAAGGCAGGTCAAATGTGTACCATTTGCATGCCAACTGCATCTGCAATGAATTCTGAATGATCTCAGAAGTCTTTCAAACTGATATTAAAAGCATGTTGAATTTGCCCATCACAGCCTGCTTACACAGGCCCTAAAAGAGGGACTAAACTCTGGAAGCTGTGGCTTAAAAAGGCAGGTTACCAATATTGCCTGTGGGTTCCTTGCAGCTGACCTTTTCCCTTTACTGACGTACCATGCCTTGTTTTGTACTCTGTCTCTATGTGGAGGTGGCCATCTTAATAGAGGGCGAGTTTTGCTTCCTAATGTTAGAGCCTCCAACAAAGAGAACAATGTGGGCTGCACCATAGGGACATCACCAAATCTCACTTCAGTCAGCAGTCCCGGGCAGAAGTACCGTAGATCTCACACTGCAGTAATACAGCTATGATGCTGTATGTACAGGACTGCCTATGCAACACTAACATACCAGGAAGTAAATTGCTATTTTTCAAGTAATTCAAGACAAAAAGTGCAATTTTTAGGGCAATAAACATTTCTAAATATTCTTCCTAACATAGCAAATATTTTCTCTTTTTTCAGTTGGCTTTGAAGAATAAACTTAACAAACCAACTGATTTTTCCCGTAGACTTTCTTGTATATTCCTGTTTTAAATTTAGGTGCTAAAGCATGCTGCATTTGCTTTCCTGCTAACTTTTTTGAATAAATCATTCCCCTGTGGCAATGATAAATTCTGATAATGTATTAGGGGAAAAAAGTGGAGGGAGGAGGTAGTGAATACTGCAATGTAACAAATCCATGTGTCTTTTGACATGAGGAGTATGACCAACTAGGTCTTTCCCCAGTGTGCTGCAAAGGCTTTTGAGCTACAATGAGAGAAAGTGTTCTGCGGCTAGTACATTTTTAAAATGGTAACCACTGTACCACCAAAATGGGATTGTGTATATTGACAAAATCCCTCCTGACTGTCAGGATAAGCAGGCATGAGGGAGGGTGGTAAGGTATGGATGAGCCCACGGGAAATTCTTAGAAGTTCAAAATTATGCAAAGTATTTGGCTTAAACTTTTAAAACTTCTAGATAGATATCCATTATGGCAAGCCCTGCCAACGCCATACATAAAAATTAGGATGGGATTTCTGTGACAGGTGCTGATTTTTGCATTGCTGACAGATTGTTAACTTCAGGCAGTGTCCAGCAGCAATGTGTCAATCTACATCCATCAGCCACAGGCGGTGTCTGTCATTATGTATAAGTCTGTGTTAGTGTTTGAGGGCCACGTCTGATCATTAGTATTACCTGTCCCACCATTACAGTTTTTGTCTGGAAATGCCAACCTCTCTATCATTCAGTGTCATTGTTTGTGAAATATATAAAATAACTTGTGCAATGCATTAAGACAAAAATATTGGAATTCACGTTAGAGTTTGGTGAGCTTCACGTGATTTAAAGTATCATCACAGTTCCTCAGAAATTTGTTTGGGCACTCAACTCCTCAGTGACTCTAATGGTAATATTCCCATATAATATTATTATTAATATTATATAAGTTACAGGTTTGGGTTACTTTCCATTGTCTGGATTGGAGGTTTCTGGTGTATCAGCAGCAGTATCAGATGAATCAGTAGCTGGAGACAGTGGTGTATATGAAGCAACAACGCAAAGGTACCTTTACCATCTGACACTTTAATGTATCATAACCAGATTTACAGGATAAGTTTTTTCGGTTTTATTTTATAAAGAAGGTACAACTAGAAATGGGTTTCTTGCATTCACTTAGTTTCCATGTCTTTTTTTTGTTTTTTTTTTAATGGCAGGTGAAAAGAAAGAAACTTAACACACGATTGGGTGCATTGGAAAACAGTCATTTTTTTTTTATTTTAATGCCAGTATATACTAATCAACAATAATTGTATCTTGCCCTAGTCTCTCACATGAAGATTTTTTTTAAGTTCCCTCTGCTGTGGAAACAGACCACCTGCCCTACCCTTAAGTTATGGTTCACCAAGGTGGACGAGATATACCTGATGGAAAATCTAACCTCCACACTTCGGAATACTGAAGAGCTTTTTCGATCCACCTGGAGACCATGGCCTCTTTTCAGGGCACGGATGAGTACCTATATACACCTCATCGTCTAGACGACACTAGGAAGGCAGTAATAGCAGATTGACCAATGTATCCATTGAGCCAAACCACTACCCTGTAACTGTAATGTGCACATTGTACTGTAAGCTGGTATTTGTGTTTCTCCACACCCCTGATTTCCTCAGGAGATGTTGTAATGATGTTGGGGTGACCGCCCCCCTGTACCGTTTGTACTAAGCATTTGTCCAATAAAGTTGACTTCTGATTTAAAAAAAAAAAAATACTGTACCTCCATAGAGGAGTACACACAGTCAGACAGACAGCCAGTAGCCTTCTCTCTGTTCTGAATGTTAGACTGATTACATGTTATAATCCATTGTTTTTTATTCACCTCCCTATGATATCAGAATTTCCTCTCCTCGTGTTCTGCTTTTCTGTTTTTCTTGGAACAGGAAGGCAAGATAGTAATTAAAAATTATAACCTTTCTTTAGTTTGCTAAAAATTTGTTTTTGTCTGTGCCCTCGTTGGAGACATTTCCTATTACGTTTTTGTCCTGACAGGAAGTGAAAGGAAATATCCCCAGTAGGGGTATAGACAGCAATAAAATCCTTCTGCTAATTGAAAATATCTTGCATTACAAAAAAAAAAAAAAAACACCAACTGGGTTACAGCTATTATTCATGTAGGTAGTTAGTGGTTAGTCAGTTTCAGTTTTATTCTTTATCTTATCTGGATTGTCATCTGTATCCCTCTACCCAACAATTGGCATATCATACACAAAGTCTAGTACACTAGATCTGAAGAAGCATACTTACATTCCTGATAATGTCTCATCTATTTAGCTACTGTTACTTCTGATCCATTCAAATAAAAATGTAGTTTAAGTTTGAGGTCATATAAATTAAAATGTCACTCTTTTGTCACCACATTCTTCCTGGGACTGTCCAGTGGAAGGCTCATTTAAACATATATTTGGGACTGGCATAAACAAAGACAATTTTGATCTAGAACTTACCAAATGGCCTTAGATGATCCCTTGGCAGGAACCCATTTAAAACATGTTACCCTAATTGATATACTTTGCAATATGACTGCTATGTAAGCCTTTACCTCTTTACATATATAATTTGGTAATTAGGTTCTGGCACTTGAGTGAAAGTTCCAACACAACAACAGAAATGTATTGGCATACAATAAAAAGATCTAAATATGGTAACAAATCGAATATAATTTAGACTAGTCCGCTGAGGATTGCATACTTTTATATATCCTTTGTTACTATAACCTCGTTCCTTTTCATGGCCAGAAATTTAATAGAAAATAAAAAAGTCCCCAGTCCTTGACAAGAACCCATTTGAGGTCCTACTTAACCGGAGACCTTAGTGACTCCAGATTCATCAGTGTAAACTGCTAGACTTCACTTTTACAGATATTATCAAATCATGGAAAACACATACGGTTGGATTTAAAGCAGTTAAGAATAGATTGACATGGATAATAGTCAATGAAAAATCATCAGCAGTTATTACAGATTGTATTCCCAGATTTATCAAAACCTGGAGCCCCTTGACATGATCTCCCAGCAGACTTTTGTGAAAACCTATTAAGCCTGTAGTCATTCTTGGGAAGACATATGGCTATGTCACCATAACAACAACACAACCCAGGACTCAGCCCCCTCTCCTTCTCCCCCCTATTTTTTTCTTTCTCACTCAACTCTAGAGCTACTACTGCATTTTACTGCTTCTCTGAGTACTTGTGCACATCAGAGATCTAAATACATTGTGCTTAAATGTGTTATGAAGTGTCTGATTGCAAATACAATACTTTAGCACTTTTATTACAAGATGATGACATATGAATACGGTTGATTACAAAAATGTAATACATATTTTTGTGTATTCCTCAGGCAGGTGTTAGAACATGTTGACTTTGAAAATGAGGATGCTGGAAATTTGGGTACGGCGAGAGTCAAAATTGGAATGAAGTAAGGACAATTTGTTGCTGTCATCAGTTATGTAGTATTGGGGAAAAGTTTTTTCTCTGTACTGTACTAACAAAATGCAAACAGATTTTCTGAGCATTAATGTTATTGTTTGCCATATGGTTGTCCCGATACCGATGCTAGTACCGGTATCGGGGCCAATACAGGGCATTTTCAGGAGTACTTGTACTCCTGAAAATGCCCCGATGCATAGATCAGATACCGGCCCTTTCAAAAAATTTTAACTAGCTCCGGCCATTGACCCGCATAGCCCCTCCTCCGGAATACCTCTCCACCAAACGCAGGCTGCCCCTCCGCTCTGACCTGTCCGGACGGAAGTGTGACAGCATGGCGGGGGTAAGTGTTATGTGTGGACAGTCTCTTCTCCCTGCTGGTGCTGGCTGTAGAGTTCTGTGTCCCTTTCACAGACCGCTGTAGCCAGCATGAGATGGGAGAAGAGACTCAGACTATGGCTGTGAAATCCCCCGCTGCCCCCCTCCCCCCTGTACCTGAGCTGCTGCTGCTCCGTGTTCTCTCTTTTTCAACTTGGTAAAACTGTTTGCTTTTGGTAATATAAATCACAAAGTGTGAGATGTCCGTGCTCCTTATGTGCAATGCAATCACCCGACCTACAAAGCAGTTTTCACTTTCATTGAAAGAAAAGAATGTCCGTTCAGTGTGCTCACGGGGGAGGAGAGGGGAGAAGCTGTAAATCTTCCCTTCTCACAGAATGGATCTTATCTTCTTTCATTGAGAGGGAAAACTTCTGTGTACGTCTGGTGAGGGCATTATTATTGAACACATAAGGAGCACCTAATCATTCTTGCCCTCAAGGTCCACAGTGCAGCAGCTTTTGATTACACTCCATTTCCACCCATAAGTGCAGATTTTATAAATTTATCACATAAGGAGCACCGACATCTGTCACTTAGATACATAACCAAAAGCAAACAGTTGAATCAAGTGGAAAAGGAATGGACACTTGTAACAATAGCAGGCTGGCAATTGTACCTGCCCATTGCCTGCTGTCAATCAGCAGAGAGGACCTGATTGAGAACTTTGTCTTCAGTTCCTTCCTTTGCTGATTGACAGCAGGCAGTGGGCGGGTACAAAAGCCAGCCTGCTATTGGCTATTGCAATTTAAAATATCCAATAGCAGGCTGGCTATTGCTCCCAGCCACTGCCTGCGGTATTTACATTCAGTGAATTCTGTGAAGTAGAAATGTGACACTAGAGGTCTAAAAGACCCCTAATGTCACCTTAAAGAGAACCTGTCGCCTCCAATGCACGCAGCACTGGTGAGAAACTGCCCTAAAATTAGCTGTATTGTTTTAGAAAAAATTTCACATGTCCCTTTAAGAAAAAGTATCGGTAATTGGTATCGGCAAGTACAGGAGGGACAGTACTTGTACTTGTACTTGGTCTTGAAAAAGTGGTATCGGGACATCCCTAGTTTGCCATATTGTAGTGTATATGGTGCTTGTGTTTCCTCTAAAAGTATTTTATCTTTTCTAAAAACTGTATAGGAACAGGCAATGCATATGCAGATAACATGAGATACAGGAAATATTGCTTTAAATAGCAAAATCAGTCTTAAAGTAGTATTAAAGCCTCCGATTTTTGTTATAAAATGACTGCTCTTCATCAATTAAACTTTGGACTAGTAATTGTTAGAGGTGCACCAAAATAGAAATTTAAAAACCGAAATGAAACCGAAATAAAAAAAAATTATTTCAAATGTTTTAAATATTTTATTTGTATTTATTTTTTTATAAACTTTTTAATTTGTAAAAAAATATTTTTATTTTTTACTTTACTTTTAGGGGCTTTGGGGAAATATTAGGGGTCTAAACAGACCCCTGATATTTCCCTTTTAAAATAGAAAAAGAGATTGAGTCCTCAATCTCTTTTTCTGTGTCCCCTGTTATCAGGAGTGTTCCTGTTCATTCATAACATGAGGACATGGTATGTTTACTAGAACTACAACTATGAATGAACAGGAGGTGATGAAGATAGATATTGAATACCAAACAAAAATACATGTATGTGTTGCAGTGCGTTTTTCATTTTTAAAAGTTGGGTTTAAAGAAGAACTTCAGGTTTCTTCAAATTAACCCATGCAGTAGGGCTACCCCCGCACTGCAAGGGTCAAGTGCTTTGTTTTGGTCTAGGGGCAAAAATTAAGAAGATATTTTCACCTGATCCTTGGTCCTGCGGCGGTCAGAGTTCACGTCTATCCCCCTCCGCTCTGATGTCCTTCGGCGTTCTTACAGCTAAAGGACCTGCATTAGATGTGATGATGTCACGGGTCTTTAGACCGATGGAACAGAGGGGTAAAAGAGGCTGCAGAGCCGAGGATCAGGTGAGTATAATATTTTCTTTATTTTGGTCCCTAGGTAAAAACGAGCGCTTAACCCTTGCAGTGCAGTGACCTTGAAATACTGGACTGATTTATATAATGCAGTGTTTATTTGAATCATTTAATTTGTGCTACCATGATTATTTTTTCTGTCATTTGCAGGTATGAACAGAAAAAACAAGTGTTTGCTATATTTATTATTCAGCTAGATAACTTACTTGCTTTATTGCTACAACAGAACAAGACATTGTAAGTATGGCAAAGTTCTGAAAAATCTTACTTTGTATTTCCTTTCCTATTTATATTGAAAGCTGAGCTTGCTAGGCTATTTCCAGTTTTAACACAATGCATTTTGTCAGTGTTTTCGGTGTTTGTCTATGTTCACCTGCTGGGCTCCGCTATCAGCTTGCCAGCCCCTACTTTGTGAATCAGGACCAGTTGTCAGTGCTTCTAATACTTAAAGCAGACCGACTGTCAAAATAACAGTGGAATCTTGCACACTGCAACAGGAAAGCATCCTGTGCAATCTGGGGGGACTCTACTGTCACTTTGACAGCCAGGACAGAATTGCCACTTTTAAAAGGTAGCTTACCACTTTTTATTGACACCTATCGTATTTGAAATCTTTTCACTATTTAGGAATTATATTCACCTCTTTCAAAATAAAATGTAACTTGACACTTGTACCAAATAACATCACCTACAAGTTGATGCCACTTTTTAATGTGTTTACCATTTGCTGTTCTCCATGTTAGAATAATTAAAATATTTGAAAACAGCAGTTTTAGAACCCAAGTCACCATTTATTTTTTTCAAATCTGCAATCCACTCTTCCCTGCTTAATACAGTACAAAGGATGGTGAATTACTTAATAATGGCAAATGTGTACATGTTTTTTATCCTCTAAAAATAGACCATAGAGACTTACCACTGTTTTATCACCGAACATGATGTCTTTAATGTACACCACCCTGAACCAGAGAAATGCATTAAAGTCACCCTGTTTCAAAACAAAAATTGCAAATAAAAGCTGTACCTGTAATGAAGCAATCAAATACTTTCCTAATACCTGCTCCACAGGACACTTTTCTGATGCAAATTAATTCCTGGTTGAAGTCTTCTGCAGAAATTGACACTCAAGAATTGTTGATCTAAGAAGTGAATAATCTAGACAACATAGCAGAACTGGAAAGTGTGCTGAATTGGAGAATTTCAGCTATTTTGGCTTAGATTGTTCACTTCTCCAAACTCTTCACCCTTTAGTGAGTAACCCTGTTATACTTCCGGAATTGTCAATTTTCTGCAGGGGATTTCACCCGGATATTTCTCTGGATTGGAGCTGTGTTCAGAGCAGGCAGCAGGAGAGATAGGTATTCAATTACCTCTTTGTGGGTACCGTTTTTTTTTTTTATTTCTTGAAAGGCTCACTATAATTTTAATTGACAGAAGTTGGAGCTGGAACTTTTTCAAGGTGGCATCAAGGTTTTATGTTTGTGTTTATTTTTACTAGTTTTCATTATTCTTTTTTGCCAATCCTTTTATTTCTTACCATTTTTTCACATCACTTTGATACCATATTTTTTTCTTCTCAGCTTCTGTATATAATCTGTAGTAATAACTTAATCCTCCATCACATCCCATGCTCAAAGCACTGGGTTATCATTTTTCATGAATGAAATATGTTTCCATTCAAAACTGTTGTTGGTAACCTGGTGTAGTGATGGCTATAGCTTTGTAATTCTGCTTTATTTAAAAAAAAAAAGGATTCCTATATTGGAAGTAGCCCACGCCCTCTCTGCTTTGGAAATCTGATTGCACCTTATCCACTTAGCCTTGTAGTGAGCAACCTTGAATCAAACCCTGTGGTAGTAGTAGACTGACATTTGTTTGATGAGGATCTGTGTGGTGAACCTCCTGCTTAAGCAGTGATTGACAATAAAATATTTTGCATTTTTAGTTTTACTGATTTGAGTGCCTTTATTTATAGATATGTCCGTGTTGCCATTCTTCCCTGTTCTGAAAACACAAGCTGCTTGTTCCGTACAAGAACTGTGGATGCATCAGACATTGTAGTGTTCAATGAAATGTTTTTGGCACCTGTATCCCATGCAGCGTTACATAAGAAGACTTTACAAGTTGATGTGTGCACACTAAAAAAACATCGAGAAGAATGTCTGGTAAATTACTTTGCATCTCAGTCTGCAATAAGCTGTCATTCATTATCTATCATAGTTTGTTACATATTTTGCAACATTAATATTTTGCATAGATTATCTATATTTCGGTTACGGTATATTGCATAATATCCCGCTGTTACATCAAAAGGTTAAATATTAAATGGTAAAAACTACAATAAAAAAAAGTAGGAGTTATTGAACTCAAAATGCTTTGGTATAATTAAACACGATCGCTCAATTCAAACTCTCACCACCAGTTCCTTTAAGACTGCCTAAGCCAGTATTCATCTTCACACTCCATGGTAAGGTGACAGAAGGTGATAGGACATTAAATGTCAAACAGTACCTCTTTATTTGTAACTATAGCACACAGGTGATAATAACTGTTGACTTGTATTAGACTGACTGTATTTAGTCTTGGCCTGCATCAGAGGTATTTTTGACATCCGACATGCTGCTGTTTTTCACCTCAAAACTATGCAGGCTATATATGTATATATATATATACACACACTTTTTATTTTTTGTGGGATAATAGCTAAGGAGATCAGGAAACTATAGGGCTAATTAGGCATAATAAGTTAGTTAAGCAAGACATTACTAATAAATTTTGTTTTCAGTGTTTGGCATCATGCCTCACTTGATACAGTTACATAAGAAAATTGTTTTTCTGTTAATCTGTTGCAAAGTTTCTTAACTGGAAATCCTGCCAGTTACAGCACTGTTGTGCGCTCCTTTGGTTGGCCTGCCTTTGGGCTACCTGTCTGGGAAACCTGATTGGCAACCCAACGGTCAACCGAAGGGCACATGGCAGCCTGACAACACTGCTGCTAATTGTGAGGCAGTGGCTTAGTGTTGTCAGCCTGCTACGTGAAGTGCTGTTACTGGCATAATTTTCAAGTAGCAAATTTTGCACAGATGCACCAAAACACCTTTACAAAAATAAATGCAGTTTAATATGTGACTCATGATGACTAGTGTATCAATATTTGTTTACATTGTAAAAATCATGCATGCTCCTGCTTCTGCTGAGCGGTGATTAAACAAATTTGCTCACAGCAGCTCTTCTAGCTAATTTGGGATCTAAGCTGCATAATTGACATCAGGTTCTGGCAGCTTCACCTGATGATGTGTACAGTGGGGAGAAATGTCAGACATATAGGGTACATCTTACATCCTTAGGTGGTTGAACATTTTCATAGAAAATATATTTTAAATACTGTAGAAACGAATAGCAGCTGTGTTGCCTATTGTAGCCAATGATAATCATGGTGCCATTATTCAAGTGCTGGTTAGAAAATGTTAACAAGCATTTGGATGATATGGGCAACACAGATAATTTTGTACCCTCTGGTTTGTAATTAATCTGCTCCATTATCATAAGCAAAGAGTTGGAGAGCCAAATTAATCATCTTATGATGAGAGGCTGATGTTGTGAACATATGGGCGGATAGAGCAGCCCAACACTTGGCTGGTGTGAGGCCAAGTCTGCATCAAATGTAACTGTTCATGGTAATGACAGATGCAGTCATTCAGCATGGATGCCAGATTACCAAATTATGTGGGGAATGGTAAAAGTGACTTTACAAGAGCTGAACACATGCCACTGTGGTCCTCATATAATCAAATATTTCTTTGCAGCTTTTATTTGTGTGTATATCTGGTCACCAAAGTTGGTGATTTTCTTATACATGAAAAATGAATATCTACAACAAGAGAGTTCTGAATAGAAAAGGAACAGAGTGCTGATTTATCTCACATAAACAACACACTTCTGTTCCCATTGTAGGTGCAAAAGTGCTGTGTAACCCTCTGATGACAGATAAACAGAAAAAGTGGCAAATGTATACATTTGGGAAAACAGTACTAGAATGTTTTGTATATTCTCTATAATGTGAAGAGCATACAGTGGGGGCACGATAACAAGCATTTGAAAGAGTACATCAAAACGGCAGTAAATTTGTGATAAAATAATAATTTACTTTTAAAATTGCATAACAGTAGCTAAAATAGCCTGGCATACAGTATATTCAAACCAATCTGTACCCCCTGATTTTTTTCATTGATGCTGTACTTTGTCACAGAACTTATTATTGTTGGTGGTTATCACTGTGTATAAACTTTGAACATAGATTTCCATCCCCATTTTTTTATTTTTCCACAGAGCTTGTAATTTTACTGCACAAGCAATGGTTGTTAATTTATCACTGCAATCAGTGTTTCTTATTCACTTTAAATACATTTGACACATTGAGAGCAATCACAATGAACAGACACTCTTCATCCTGTTTGGACTTTGTTGGCTTTCAAATAGGAAGTTCAAATATCTACTTTGACATTTATCACCAATGCATAATGCATGTCCTGTTAATTGGGTATCCTTTTATCTTTAGCTTTGAAAAGTACATTTCGGCCCCCGTTGTTGCTATAGATACAGGTGTCGCTTCACACTTTATTACATTTTGTATGTAGCAGCCAGAAAACACATTACTGCTTTTATCACTTCTTCATGAAAAAGTGCTATGGGGGAGAGCTGAAATAGTGATTAGCCATATACTATCTGCAATATGGATTATGTGTTATGGTAATTAGTAGCAGTTTTGGTTGGAAACTAGTTAAATATATTCCTTTGTAAATATCTGTATGGATCTGCAAAGCACCATTGATGGATTTGTGGACTCCTGAGACAAGAGCAGGTAATTAGTTAATTAGTTAAGCAAAGGGGTCAAAGCCAGGAGACCACGAAAGAACAATACATGCAACAACATGATACCCAACCACAAATGCACACAGCCTTATGGTGCACCCTTTTTGTTAAGGGTTTCTATGTCTGATGGTGGCCAAAAGCCACCAGAATTAGTCACAAAATGAACCATTTCCTATACCCAGGGAAACAAAGGTGATAAAATCCATGATGGTAATAATACAGTTACTAGGAAAATAGACAGCAAAGCAGACTACAATAAATAGGATTCCGAGGTATGAGGTACCTCAGAATATAAGGACAACAGGGCAATGGAAACACTGAAGGACTGGAGAGAGACACACATTTAAGCAGGGCTGAAATAAGCAGGCAAAAGTCAGACTAAACACATGAGATAGGTGCTAGAAAAACAGGAATATGGAAACATGGACAAGCAGGGGCAAATCCAGGGTAAAAGAGGATTGTGTTAATGATCACAGTTGCAAACATAATGCTGCGACAACCACCAAAGACAAATTATGTAGAATAATAGCTAAGAAGATCTCTGGGTGATAGCTTAACATGGGCAGGACACACATATGAGATATGACAGACATTCGAAAGGTACAGAACAAATACAAAGACATATTTTCCATTTCTTTATGCAGTAGTCTCAATTAGTCAAATGGTGTAGTTCTGGCAGGGCCTCTAGCTCAGAAAACTGTAGATGTGGTATAATACAAACCCTTAAAATGTTGTGAGGCCACAGGCTCTAGTATATCCTTCTAAAGTATATGTGTGAGGGTGCTCTTGGAGTTAAAATTCCACAATACCATATAAAGAAAATTATATTTTATTGAGTACCCTTAATGAATAGAAATGATACAGCATATATATTAGAAGAAACTGTGTGTGATACATTTACCAAATAAATACATGAAAGCAAATGCCTGTTTTTATGTTCAGCTTCTATTGTAGGAAATACATATTGCCTGATAATAATTGTAGTAAATGCATGTAAGTTCATTGAAGATTTGATTGATTGATGAAAATAACCCAATGTTAACACATGCTAATACAAGCACATAAACTGAAATACACAAACACATTAAAATTGGTACCTCTGTCAATATGCGTCTACATATAGAAGAAAATGAACCATGCTTAATGAAAGCCTGTTTTAAAGAGCCTGTTTGTTTGATATTTTTCATACAGGGTGGAGCACAAATAAGCCTCGCTAATGTTTGTAGATCTGGTGAGAAAGAAGTAAATTGCTACAACCTGTTGCGCTACCTATACCCAAAGAAGCAAAAGCACAGCGATAAGCAAGGAATAAACCATTCTGAAGAAAACACTGAAGGAAATTCTGTAAGAAATGTTATAGTTATATGGGGTAACAAGTCAGGCAGAATTAATTTATTGAAAAAGGCCACGATCTTAAGAGGCAATTACAGAGCAGAAGAAACAAACACAAATCTTGAATAAGGTTGTGGCGATTTAGAAAGTGCAGTAATACCTAGAAACTATTTACATACCTCCTTTAATCAGATAAGATCAAATGTGTTGGTGAAAGAAAAATACTGATTTGTTTTCATGCATTACTGACTGATGTACAAATTATATAGACCTACCTGCTCATACATGGTTAACATTGCTGGAGAGGCATTAGGCTATTCTTACAGTGGCTCCATTGATATCCCTGTTAAAATGCCATATATGCACCACACTCTAGACTTTCAAGAGCTGTGCATGGTCTGCAGTTGTCACTGGTGTGCGTTATGTCAAATGTGGCTCTAGCACGGCAAGATTAAATTGTTAATTTAGCTAATGCTGACATTTGTAAAAATAAGCCCCTATCATTATGATTTGCAGCACATTCAATATGATCTAAACATATGATTGTTTTTTTCTCTGCAGGACTTGGTGTGTTCACTTTTAGTGCATACTGCATCTACAGTAGATGTGGTAGGTGTTGAACCGCAGCAAGAAGACACTGGACAAGATGATGACAGGGATGATCAATGGTAAGTGACACAGTGGGTGTCCCTCATTTTAAATGGTAGTATTTCTAAAACTTGTCCAAATTTATGTGAACCTCAGAATTATTAAAGGTGCAGTTAAAATAAGACAGCATATAAAAATGATTGTCTAAAAAAGGGTTTGTTACATTTTTTTATGGTCATGGTTTTACTCCTGCTCAAATCATGAATGAAAACTCTAATTACCATAATTATACAGCCCTCTATTTAATATGGTTGTAGCAGTCCTATGTGAACTATAGGTATTGGATAGAAGATCACTAGTACTTTTAAGGTTCAAAGTGTAAATTTCTGTACTCCTTTATTGAACATGTGTCATTAAAGCCAACATTTCGGGGCCATGCCGGTAACCGTGCTCAAACGCAAACAGGATCCATCCTGTCTGCGTCCGAGTACGGACACCCGTGCAGCTCGGGTGAGCGTACGGCCCGGTCCTCCTATAGGGAAGAACAGGCTGCTGCGTACATTCACACGCAACACCTGTCCTTCCCATGAATGGCCCGATATGGATCTGTACAGCCCCACTCTACGCTGTGTGAATGAGACCTAACAGTCTGTCCATCTTTCACAGTGCCTAACAAGTGGCCTCTCTGTGACTAACACCATTGATTACTGGACATGTTATAGGCTTGAAGTTGCACAGGATGAAGAACCTTCTATGGACAATGAAGAAGATAATGAATGTGATGAGAATGTACAGAGCGATACAGAGGACCCTGATAACCCTGAACAGCTGAGCATGGAATCTGCTGGCAAGAAGGTAAACACATCTGTGTGGGAAGTGTTGTCAATACCATCAAGAAGAGTGCTTTGGGCTATGCCAGTAAATCACTGTTAATTGTTTTCTGTGCATAGTATATGATAATCCAGGGAGTGTCCATTTATATAATGTTATATTTCTTACAATGTAGCATGTAGAAAGAGTTTTACTATAAACTCTTTATTGTAAAATTCTGCACGAGCAGACACCAGAAGATGCTACTATTACTACTGTTAGCAAAAACAATCTTCTCTGCATCTTTCAAACAAATTTCATTTTGTTGCTGGTCTCCCTTAACCCTGACAGCTAACATCTCCTTGCCCAGTGACGGTACCTCAGTGGCCAGCAAGAGGACTTTTACTAGACATACAAATAGCAGTTAGCATAGTTCTGAAGTCAGACTCCTAATAGCAAAGTGAAAACTTTCACTGCCAGAGCTGTTTTTGCTTTTTTTTAGTTGCGCACATGTTAAAATGCACATATTAGGCCTGAACGTTACTTAACCTCCACTACCCCAGAACTATGTATTTCCTGAAAGCAGAGACCCTGTAGAATAAGGTGGTGGCAGTTGCAATTTTGTATGTTGCATGATATTAGCGCATCTGTTTATCAAATCCAAATTTTCAATAAAAAATACACTTAACTTAATTTTAGTACCCATAAGCACAATATAATCCCCAATTTTGGTAAAATATAAAAGAGGAGCTTGTGCTGCGTAAATAGATACCAAACATGTCAAACTACAAAATTGCGTGCACCTGTGAAATGGCCAAAAACTATTGTCTGTAGATGACTCTTCAAAATCTTTTGCAGGTCATCAATTAAGAATTAACTGTGAATACTGGTCCTAAAATTATTGCTCTCCCTTCAGCATGAGCGGCAATATCAAACATGTGTGGTATAGTCATCGTTTTTGTACATAGGCACACTGAACCGGTGTTTGCATTAGTATGTGTGTGTATGTGCATGGCGAGGCATCAAGGAAGCTGTCGGCAGAAAGAATTAATGACATTTCTGCCTCTTGACAGTCCATAATTTGTCCTAAAAATGACTACCAAATAGATTCAGATAGAGTGCATTTTAGCTAAGGACATGCCTGAGGAAATTGTGGGATTACATTTAGTCCATAACTACTGTGCCTTGAGAGGACTTAAAACTCTCACTGCAGCAGCGATTGATAATATAGTTTCTAAACTATATCAAAATTTTTTTTACATAATGTTTAATAGAAAAACTCAATTTTTGAAACAGGACAAAATCAGCTTCATGAAAAGAGCCCTTTATTAGACTTTGTATAGATTTTGAAGTCAGGATGGGCATTACTACTCTTTGGAAATTTATAGTGACTGCTTACTGTGAGCTTCTCACATGTGCATTAGAAGCTGCAGCATGTTAGATGGAGCTCATTTCCTGGATTGACGACATCCAGCATCACCCATCCCTTTCCTCACCAGTCTAAATGTCCCTGGCCCACCCCTTTTCATTCATTGGATTTCATTCATTTATGTAGGATTCGCCTCACATATGGGCATTGTCTAGGGTTATCTGCGTTCAAATTCAGTCTGCCTAGAAACACTCACTCCTCCAGACTGACACTAACTCCAAGGATAAAGCCTCTAAGGAGGAGTACTAAGGAAGGGTATTGTAATATTTTCAGGAAGCTTTGTACAGCACCCTTTTGCCTCACCCAACAGCCATGATCTGCCTGCATTGCACAGAAAAGCACAAAGACCCAGTGACAACATCACTGGTGTTAAAATAAGGTATGTAATGAGAACGGAAAGGATTTATTTTAACATTTAATTATCATGTTGATGAAGAGGGGAGGGAGGAACCAGAGGAGGCTAAATATAAGCAGATTATACTTAAGCTTTAATTGCATAGAGGTGGACTCTATTCAGTTAATTATGTGCCTTCCGAAGGCAACTGGTTGAATATTTATGCAATTAAGACGTTCTGTTTTTCAGTCTGGAAATCATTTGGGTGCCTAGAAATGTTTCTTATTTAACACTGACAATGTGGACTAGTTTTTTATATACCACTATTGTAAAATCTCTGCTCATTCCAGGTAGCAACACTAGAAATGTGGAAAAGTACCAGAAGGATTCAATAGTTAGGTTTTTGGTGTTGTGATTATCATGTGTTCTGTGTTTATGTTCCCATTTGTCCCATTCTCTGAGTGCTCATTACATGTCTCACCTTACATGAAAGCCTCCTTCTTCTGAAATAGACCCCCTGTTATGGGCTTTTTGCTCTCTGTTTCTCTGTTGGTGAAATGTACCTTCATTTCCTGTTGTGCAACTGGAACAAGAAATAATAAAAACTTTGTAATAGGGAAACATACAACAATAAAGTCACTTATTTAAGGATATTGTTGCGATCTTTGTTCCCATTTTGGAGTTATCTTTATTTCCTGTTGCGCAAAAAGGACAACGGTGGTGGGAAATCTCCCCAGTAGTGAAACAACAGCAATAAAAACCTGACCAACTTCAAACTCTATTCAGATTCTATTCTATTCAAACTAGCCAAAAACATTTTGGTGTGTGGAGTTCCACTTCAAATCAGGGACATGCAGGAATTATTCTTGTCTTGTACGTTATCAATCAGAAATTACTTTTCTGAAGTGTAATTATGTTATACTGTATACAGGTGAAACTCGAATAATTAGAATATTGTGCAAAGTTCATTTATTTCACTAATGCAACTTAAAAGGTGAAACTAATATATGAAATAGACTCATTACATGCAAAGCAAGATCATTCAAGCCGTGATTTGTCATAATTGTAATGATTATGGCTTACAGCTCATGAAAACCCCAAGAACCCCAAATCCACAACCTCAAAAAAGTAGATTATTACATGCAATCAATAAAACAAGGATTGTACATAGAACAATATCGGACCTCTGAAAAGTACAAGCATGCATATGTACTCAGTACTTGGTTTGGGCCCCTTTTGCAGCACTTACTGCAATTACTTTTGCACGATATTCTAATTATTCGAGTTTCACCTGTATACCTGTAGTAGTTTTGCTCAGTTGTTGTGTAATATGCTAAATTCTTACAAACCTTCTCTCTTCCAGGTGGACAAGGAGACAAATACTGAAGGGATTCTTCAGTCAACTACTGTTGTGCGCCCAAAAGACAAAAAAGCGGCAAATACAGTGCAAGCACAATTCATGAGAGGCAGTACCATAATCCGCTCCAAAACCTTTTCTCCCGGGCCTCAAAATGAATACATTTGTCATGTAAGAAGTCACATATTTAAGATCTAGTGAAAAGCCAGTATGTTTGTTAACATTTTGTGCTTTAGAGATGGTAAATGGAAATCTCCTATTTGATTGAGACCTCTCTTGGTAGCAACATGGAAGGACTCATGCCTAAAGTACCATAGTAATTAAAAGTAGTAGCTTTATTTTCAACAACAGTGGTCATTTTTAATGACAGTTTTGGCGCATGCAGCAATACCTGACATGTGTAGCACATTCAACATTTTCATACATAGGTGCACCTGACTTGTGTTCATGTTCCCATGCACATGTTTGCGGGAGCGGGGGACTTAAACTTTTTTTTTTGTATTTTTAATTTTATATGATTTAATTTAATTTTTTTTAATACTTTTTTTTTTAAACTTATCTGGGAAGGGGGGCTTATAATCCTAGTGTCATCTTTCCTCTTCAATAACTTTAGCTGGGGAATGACAGCTGCCGAATGTAAACACAGCAGGCAGTGGCTGGGAGCTGAAGGAGAAAGTTCTCCGTTAGGCCCACTCCTCTGCTGATTGACAGCAGACAGTGGGCGGGTGCACCCCAATGGGCGTCGGCTGCAGCGTTCTGTGTCCCCTCTGAACCCCACTGCCTCTGCTGATACAGGTGGGGAGAGCAGCAGGGTTAGAAAAGGACACAGATTGCAGCATGCAGCACAGTGGAGAACAGGAGAAGCAGAGCTGATGCGGTGGGGGACAGTGAACGGATTGACAAAAGCCCATGAGCCAGCACAAAAATGTTCGAGTCGCCATAGCAACCTGGCTCCTGAGATTTGTCGAGCCCTGTTGTAAGGTCTCAAACCAATTGGGAATTTCCACTTTTTTCAAAAATCCTTTTTAATACCTGGAGACGGAATCATGCAAGGAACAATGTTTATATATCACTATATTCTTCAACAGTTCTGCAAACTGTTTCTTGCTTTCTGCTGCATTCTCCAGATTATATACTAGAGATGATAATTATCTATAGCATGAATTTAAGTCCAATTTCAATACCTGCTTACCTCTAAATGGTTGTAAAACCTGCTCGCCCTTCCAAGGCTTCTTTTTGTAGATTGCTAACTGCAGAAATATCCCTGTTAGAGCAGGTGTAGACAGCCGTGTAAAATGTTGAGTACACCCAAATTGCCTATCCCACCCCTAGTTTCCTTGGCTGTTTTGCAGTGCAGAGCATGTCAATAGGTATCGTGTCCTACTTTTAGACCCTCTGAATTTCACTTACCAGAACTGACAATTGCAGTCTGAGCTCAGAGGTCCTCTTAAGCAACCATCAACACCTGACTTTTTTACAACAGCTAGTGTAAGGTGATATCAAGCACACCTTGATTTATAGTACCACAAATAAAGCAATGGTCCTAGTGACTACTTTCCAAGAAGATACTAGAAGGTTAAAGGTACTAATGTATAATTACATCCTTTGAGGTGCCCCTCTAGAGAGATCTTTACACTCGTGCTCCCAGACTTTCTTACCTTCTGTGGCCCTTACATACATTCCATTCTTCCTGTTTGATTTTTGTTTTTTCATCATGGGCAATGCATCAAGTGGAGTTAACCCACCTAAAGTTGTTGTAGGGCACACAAACCCTAAATAGGGAGAAACAGAACCTGGAAATAAGGGGGGGAAATTAGCCACTGAGAGTCCTGATTATAACTAATATATCAGTTTTGGGTAGATTAACCCTATAAAGACGAGTACAATTTAGTGGGTAAATGGCATACCACGTTAATATATTTTGCAATATCTTCTGGAGAAGTTTGTCTCACTTTATTTCTTCCTTGTTGCATTCTTCTAGCTGAACCGAAGTGACAGTGATAGCTCAACTCTTTCCAAGAAGCCACCTTTTGTCCGAAATGCGATGGAAAGACGTAGTATGAGAGTTAAAAGGGTATGTTCACTTATGCATTGCATTTCTTGTAACGAATGACCTTCTTTAACTAAGAATATATTCTAATGTCAGTTGTACATTATACATACAAATGGACTTTACAGGTTAACCCAGTACCTTAGGTTGTCTGATAAGAACAAAAGTTATACTTACACCCGGAAGAGAAATAAAGGGGAAGTCTTTACTAGAGACACCTGTTTCAGTGACAGTTGTCTAAGAGAGGATTTCCCCTCACTTTGGAGAGAATTCTTTTTACTTCCATGACAGAAAGTGAAGGGAAATCTCTGCAATGGGACACAGAAAGCAAAGCAAAAAGAAATTGGGGGTGTTTTAACTATTCCTTATTCTATTCAAATCCAAAAACAAATTTTGGCTTACTTTCGATTGTATTGCTATTAATTTAGAATAATTTTGCCAAGTCAGACCAAGTGAAGGCCATTACCTTCTTTGGGAGGTTTTTGCTTGTATCATGAGTTTCATTTTATTTGGTGGGACTACTTGTCAGAGTAATTAATGCAATGTTAACACTGGAATAATGTGTTTCTTCTTCTTAGTAACAATCTGCCTAGCGCCTGTTCTCCACTGACCATCTTATCATAAATGTAAAGAACGCCCCCAGGGAATGGGTCATTTACTTTTTGATGCCCCTATATAAATATCAGGCCCCTTTCAGATAGGCGCATCTGTTCTGATCAGCAGATCCCCTGCTGATCAGAGCTGGAGAGAAGGGATATCACTCTTGTGACATCTGTGTCCATTCAGTTGAACTAACTGGACCCATTTGGGGTCTATGGGGAGTTGGATGTAAGCAGACATGTCCATTTAAATATGATTTACCTTCAACCTATTCTGTTCAGGACTGGCAAAACAGAACTCTGTTCCATATTTTTTTGGAACCTAGATGAACTCAGATGTAAACAGGCACAGGTTCTGACTTCACATAGACTGACATTGAGCTTCTGATCTACTTGAAAAACTGACAGGCAGACCTGATTAGAACGCTGTAGGAAAGGGCCCCTATTAGACTTTGCCTCTTGACATAGTTCAGAATGAACAGATCAAGGTGTTGTAACTGTTGATGGAATATTTCAAATTAACTTTATTGTTTCAGCCTTCCTTGAAGTGTTCTGGTAGAGACCGTGTAATTCGTACATCTCTGGATCTGGAATTAGATCTGCAGGCTTCGAGGACGTGGCATAATCAACTTATTGAAGAAATTGCTGTACTAAGGGAACTGAAAGAACAGTTAGAGCAAGCCAAACGTCAAGGTGAAAATGAGCTGCCTCAGCGGATTAAGGAAGATGACAGCTTGAAGCTTCTGTTCAGACAAGTGGAGAAACAGGTAAGTAACATATAAACTCCTGTGATATCTGTCTGTTGAGGTTCTAACAGTCTGCCTTTACAGCAACTGGCACTGTTGTGAACTTTCTGAATTTGTTTTTCTAACTATGCTGAAGCTTCTGTTAACGTCTCATTAGATTAATTGCAGTTGTGTTGAGTGCAAGTCGTGACCAATTCCAACATTACTTGTGACAATGTGAGTCATGTGGGCATAAAATTAAGTCTGTCTGTTTGTTAAGAGTAATCATTTTCACTTTCAGTGATGTTTTTTGCAAGCAGTAGCCAATTGTTCGTTTTGTGTGAAGAAACCCATACCGCTTCCCTGTGGCGCACAACTTGTTAGAGGATGGCCAGATACCTTATCATCTGGCCATCTGTGATCGCTCTACCTTCTGAGAGTTTAAAGTGCACTATGTTGGACCGCAGTGCACTATTTAAACTGACTATTCGATCTTTTTGTGAGTGGTGAAAATTGGTGAATCTACGGCATGGAGTACATTGGCATGAAGGCATTGCTACAGTCTAATGCTGCTCAGCAACAAGCTGCTGCTGGCCAGCATCAAGCTCATCCGCAAAAACCTAGGCACAACAGCAAAAAATTCTGGCAAAGCAGCAAGAAACAAATAGACTGTTGGATGTCCAGCAGCAACAGGCTAATGCATCTCAGCAAGAAAGTAAAACTGGAGGTTTAGGTGACTGTTTTCGCCCAGGCTGCACAGAGAGAATGAGAGGCCTTAACAGAAGTGGTGCAGCGCACTGGGGCTCAGGTGACTTTCTTATGCCAGGCAGCAGAGAGGGACTAACAGACTTTAAAACAGGTAGTACAATAGCTTATGACCCAAGGTCCAGAGGTCTGTGTTGTCACTCATGGTCATGCTAGTGCAATATGTCTAAGCCACTAATACTTACAGAAAATGATGCCACTGGATGACCTAGAGACCTATCTCACCACTTTTGAACAACCCACCAAATGAGAGGTCCAAAGAGCAGTGGATTTTCTATTGAAATATTGTACTGCAACTGGGTAGGCAGGCGCTTGCAGCGTGGTACCATTCATTCATATTGTCCTGTTTGGCAAGTGGCACTGCGTGGCAAAAGCAGCATACCGTATATTTTTTACCGCACCACAACACAAAGCATCAGAGCCCCAGCAGTGTATACAGCACTATATGTACCATTGCAGCAGGCAGCAAAACCACACAGTTTCACCACCCTTGTGAATTAGGCCTAACATGGATGGCCCAGGCCAAGAAGTGGAATTTAAGGGTTACCAACTGGTGCTTGGCTCTCCTGGATTTTTTTCTTTCTAAGTGGAGCACTGGGCTGGTTGTAATAAAAATAAAATGCGGATACCTTCTGGAGAGCACACTCTCTCTAGGCAGCAGGTGTTTAAATCCCTGGATTCAAACAGAATGGCGGGTATGTGACAGGCAGCCCGATACAAGATGGAGTGCATATGAGGCTTTATACTAAATTGCTATAAATGTGGGTATTAACATGAATGTTATTATGAATGTGTATAGTGGGCTGGCCATGGCTATAGATATTATTGGGATACATTTTTAAATGATTTAATTTTATAAGGTATGAAATAAAGAATATTTTTATTTTTAATGGTGTGGGTGATCTTAGTCTGAAGTCTTTGACACACTGCAGGTTTTTCTTAGCTCCTTTCTCCAAGAGTTTGTAGTGACGTATTGCTATCTACCATGTACATGCTAGATCCATGAGAGTGTAGCTTCTGAATCTCTATTTTCTGTTGTGCAGTAGATACAAATTTAATGAGTGGACACATCTGGGTACACCTGATGAATAAAATGGAGTGATGAGAGGCTGGAGGGAGAGCAGTTCAGTTTGTGCTAAGAACAGGATGAGAAAAGATGCTAAGCAACCCAGTTAAGAGCCAGAAGGCTAAAAGGTTTTGTTTGAGTTTGTTGTGTTTTCTTGCAAATGTTCTTCTGTGGAGAAATAGAAGTGGGCAAGCATCCCCCCCTTAAACACACTTTTGATGTCTGGACTCTGCGAGCTCTACACTTGCAGCTGGCCCTTACATATTACATATGCTTCTCTGCAGACAGAATAAAAGGCATACAAATCTGGCATATATACTTAGTTTTGGCTATAAATAGGACAGTTAAAATCACAGTGATGGGTTTTGTGTTTACTTAGGTGCAAAGAATAGAGCTGAAGTATGAAGTGCAAGCCGAGAAGATGATGAGAGCAGCTGCTAAGGATGTACGCCGCCTACGAGGACAAAGCTGTAAGGAGCCACTGGAAGTCCAATCCTTCAGGTAAAGCTCTAATGTAACCTTTAGGCCTGGTTCACACCTGGGCGTTTTACAGCACGTTCCTACGTACTGTAAAACGCTCAACATGTGGAAACCAATAATTGCCTATGGGCATGGTTCCCACCTGTGCGTTTTACAGCAAAAAAACACCCTACGCCCAAAGAAGTACAGGAGCTTCTTTGGGGCGTATTTGCCGCGCGCATCCATTAGGATACAGCCGCATAGCCCTTGTAAACGCGCGTTTCTTTTACCGCAAATCGCGGTGCAAACGCGCATATTCCATACACCTAGGTGTGAACCCAGCCTTAGAAATACAATTACCTATGCAAAAATATATTCATTTACAAAGCCATTCACTACATCTGATTTTAAATAAAGGAGCAACTGATATACATGACAGTCTTCTCTTTGTCCTGGAAAGATGTTTACAGAGACAATTGGCTATAGCTGTGACAGCAACATTGGCAACAAACTGTTTGAGATTAACTCCATTACAAAGCATATGTATATAGACAGAAAAGTGGCTAAAAAGGACTGAAGAAGATCAGCAGTGCTGAGATGCAAAAAAATAGGAGAATCTACCTTAATTTTGACGATACATTTATTCTTTTTTTTGTGGGGTTATTAGAACACTTGATGCATGAAGCAATAATTATTAAGCTGTAGTTACTCCATTAATCTCCTCTGCTTTTTTGCTGTATAATTTTAGTGGTGTTTAAACCCAAGAACAGAATGCAAAATATTTGGTATTTATGTGCATTGCATCGTAATGGAAAACAATAGTCTTTTGACAGTTTATTTAAAATATATGTGAATATAACTTATTAAAAAGTATAAATGCTTTAAAAATGTTATGTGTATAATTTGTAAACAGGCAGTATATGTACCTAGCGAAGCCATACTGCTCACTTAAGTATACAGGCTTCCCTTCCTGCTTAATACTTTAACCGTTTCTTTGTCCAAACTTCCTGAAAGCCGGATTATTACTACATTGCTCCACGCTCTCGCTTGCCCGGCGCTCGGAACTACATGTCCCGGGCGTCGGGCGATATGAATTCAACACCCCTGCGCAAGCATTGTCGCTATGTATCGGTCCCGATACCGATGCTAGTATTGGTATCGGGACATCCCTAGTTAAAACCCCTGGCAAGTAATTTTTGCTGTCTGTGTCTCACTAGAGAAAGTTCACTTTGCTTCCTATTCTGGAAGTGTAACAGAAAATGAGAAGAAATCTCTCCAAAGTGAAAGAAGAAATTCCTTTCTTAGATAGCTGTGATAGGATGATTACCATTGGATGATTTCCTCTCATAACTTTCTGCCATGCAAAACTTTTGGATTTCTCTCACTTTCTGTCAATGATCAAATTGAGGGGTGACTCTCCCCAACAGGGACACAGACGGTAGTAAAACCTTAAAAAAGAATCCAACTCCTCCCTACTCTATCCAAAACTAAAAATAAATTTACATTTGCCTTTACATACATTTTAACATTTTGCCCCAAATTTGGGAAAACCCTTCTTTCTCTATCGTCCATTGAGGGACACAGTTCTAAAGAATTCTGAGATGTAAGGTTATGCTGCTGCCTCCAGGAGAAATGGACACTAGGCAAAAAAATTAAAAGCCTGTAACTTAAAACACATAACCCCTCCCACCTTACACCCGCTAGCTTTGCTTTATGTCCTCAGGAGTATGGCTGTGTCTTTTTCTTCTGCTTTTTTATTTTGTTTTGTTTCTTCGTGAGATTGTATCAAGAGCTAGTTGCTGTATGCTGGATCAGGTGTGCAGGCAGGTGTTTTTTTTTTCTACATTTAGCCCTGCTGCGGGCAAGCAGGGCTAAATGTAGAGCAGGGGAGCCGCTGCTCATTTTGTACCAGATCACTTGCACAGCGCTTCCATTCTCAGCTGTCACAAGCTGGGCTGCACAAAAGATTGAGCACATTGCTTTGCTCGATCTTCAGTATTGGAGGGCAGGCTTCATAAAGAGAACTTGTCACCTTCAAAAATTTTCACATAGGGACTTGTTATCCCCTGTGTGATAGCAGTAAAGTTAAGTGAATAAAAAAAAAGTGAAAAATAAATAAAAAAAGTAGAAAATAATAAAATTAAAAAGTGATTCAAGAAAACTATAAAAAAATAACATAATAAAAAAAGTAATAAAGTAAAAAAAATAGTAACATTAAAAAAAAAAGAATCTTACAAAAGTTAAAAAATAATAATAAAAAAAACTTATAACCAGCCCTACCACCCCTGCCATCAACATGTGAATAAACCAAAGGGCATTGTGTGTGTTGAGTGCTGCCCCCACCACCGTGTTCCATATTGTGGTAGCTGGGCAGAACACTCTCTAACACGCAGAAGGTGCATTAAAGGGTAAGTTTGAATTTCCAAGTAATTTGGAAGAATGGAATTATCAGCTCAAGTCTGGCCCCCTTTAGCCCCCCCCCACTATTCTTCCCTTTCGACAAACGGTCCTTCCACTCCGCCAGTACGGGTGTGCTATCTGTACCCCATACTGCCATCCAGCATGGCCCTCTGCAATGAATATTGAATTACGCTCGTTGACCAACTTAGCATGGTTAAATAAGGTTTTGGTAAAAAATTATTTTTTGTATCTTGAGAATCGAAATCAAAATACAATTTGCTTCACCCAAAATATCAAACCCTGCAGCAAGCACTAACGTGATATGTCACCAAATATCCAAAGATAACCTATCAATAGAGTCATGAGAGACAAGTAGATTGAGCCCCTGCTTTAGTCCTTGGACAAATAGTTTTTTTTTTATTTTCACACCCCTGTCAATATTATTAAATCCTGAAAGTTTCTCAAGCTGACAAAAGTAAGAGATTCATACCAGATAAGTTAAATCCTTGAAGTTCCTCCATTTGTTAGGAAGCGGGTCTTATCTAGTATCAGTACTGATGATTCCTCCTGTGGTGGTCCGTAGTTCCCGTGGTTGTCTCTTCCTTTGTTTTAGTCAGGCCAGTATTATCTGTGAATTCCCATTGTGGTGAGGGGACCAAGGACATGGGGTCATGAGTAACTGTATGATATATTTGTCAGTTATTATTGTAGGGATAGTTTTTTTTACCACCTTTTTATTGTATCTGGGCTGTGTACATTCTGTGTCCTGACTCTTTCTGGTTTACATTACTTTTCATAAGAGTCTACCTATTTTTATTCAATTTTCCTGGCGTCTCTTTAAGAGGCCAAGATTAAAAAAAGAAGATGCACTTGTTTTTTATACTGTGTGCGCATTCACAGTTTGTTTCTCCTGGAATGTTAGTAACGGTAGATTGCACTTCTGTCGCTGGGCCGTGGTGGTTTCACTTCAGCACCATTAATGATTTCTTGCCTCCTATTGAAACCGGCTGTTGGGGAAGATGAGGACACAGTGACACAACCTTTATTTCAATTATACTGCTGTCTGCAATAGTGGATATGTGCCTCACATATATGGTTTATTTTCTCCCTTCACACCAGTCTGGGCTTTGAGCAGTTCTGAGGAGATTTGTGGCACTTATATTTTGTCTGTTTTTTCACAGATATGTCTATTTCTAAACAGAGGGGCGAGCGCACCTTAACTTCTGAGGAGCCCTCCTCTTTACTTGTTGTATGTACTGTATATAACGCGGAGATTCCCTCTGGAAAGGAATGTGCACATTGTACTGCTATTGGGGCCAAATCTGACAATTCCTCGGCTGTTTCTAATCCTGCACCTCCCTCTTTATTGGGTGATTCTTCTCTTTTCATTACTAAAGCTAAATTTTCTTCTATTATAAAGAGTGTTTTTTTTTCCTCATTTAAAAAAACTTGTAGCCCCTGTTTAGAGGGTAAAATATTGTGTTTCTCCTTTGCCTGTAGTTTCTGAGGAAGAAATGCCTGCTATTTCTGGAGCTGCTGTAGTTTCTCCACAAGATTCTATGTATTATGAGGATGAAACTGCTCAGGCTGATTTTCAGCCATCTGCAATTACTTTGCATCAGAAATAAATAGTTGCCTTTTTAATTGAGGCTGTGCAGAGAATTATGCAGTTTTTTTCCCATTTTGCAGTTTCTAGTCTGAGTGTGTTTGAAAGGTTTTTCCTCTCCATCCTATTTTTGATAGGTTTCTCTACAAGGATTGGGGAATTCCAGATAAGCAATTTCTGGTTCATAAACGTTTTAAGTCTCTTTATCCTTTTCCAGAGTATTTTGTTAAAAAGTGGTATTTTTCTCATGAAGTTGATCCTCCAATTTCTCGTCTAAACAAGGCCTTCACTATTCCTATTCATGACGCTCCTTCCTTTTAGGGATCCTACTGACAAGATATTGGAGAATCATTTTTGTACCAATCATTTGTTGACTGGTTCGGCTCTTCAACCATTATTGGCTATGGTCCTTATTTCTCAGACTTTGGCTACTTTGACAAAATCTTTGAGTGCAGATCAGGAGTTGCTGGAGTTGATCCACATTTTACTGATTGTGTTGGTCAGATGACCGTTGCTTCTCATTTATTGTGTGATGCAGTTCTTGATGCTTGTTGTCTATTTCTACCATTCAGATAAGCAGAGCTTTCTAGCTTAAATACTGGTCGGCAGGACCCCAATGCAAGAAGGGACTTTTGCGTTTGCCCTATGTGGGAGATTATCTTTTTGAAGCTTAGCTGGATCAGATGCAGCTCCTGCAAGCGATCGGGCGTCTCTAGAGACGCCTGATCGCTTGTATGTAAACAGCCATCGCTGGCTGTTTACATGCTTACCGTTTTCCCTCTCGTGTGCGCGCTGAGTGCTGCACACGAGAAGGGGGAGGGGCAGGACGTCTCAAGACGCCCTCCCGCTCCTAGCAGACGTCCGTCCGGCCGTTCACAAACGGCCATGGACGGAAGGTAGTTAAAAAGGCTACGGAAGGTAAAAGTGAGCACTTACCGCAGATGCGAAAATTTAAGGATCAGCATCGTAAGCCTGCTCCTTTTCTATCTTTTAAATGTTCATTTCGTTTTTTCCATTCAGGTTTTCCGTTCCCAATCTCAAAAAGCATCTGATACTTTTTAGCCTTTTGGATCCTTTAGACGTCCTTGGCAATCAAAAACCTCCAAGCCTTTGGAAAACCCCGCTTTGGCATGAAGGTCAACCCCTGCCCTTCCATCTCAGGATGGTATTTGCGAAGACGTGGAAAGCTCAAATTTCAGATGTGCTTCAGTTTGAGAGGTGGTTTCCACAGCTTACAAAATGGAGCTTTATCTTCTTCCTCCTCCTCGGTTCTTTGCGTCTAGGATTCCCATGTCTCAGGCAGCGTCAGACAAACTTTTTGTTGCTCAGTTCTAGGTCTGTTGGATCAGAGAGTTATTATTTCCACTCCTTTGGCAGAACGTTTTCAGGGGTTTTACTAAAACCTGTTTATGGTTCCCAAACGCAGTGGAGGCCTATGCCCAATTCTGGATTTAAAAGCACTCAATATGTTTGTACATACTCACAAATTCAGAATGAAATCCATTTGAACGGTTGTCGCCTCTTTTCGATAGGAAGATTTTTTGGTTTCCATAGACATAAAGGATGCGTATCTACACGTTCCTGTTTTTCCAGCTCATCAGTATTTTCTTATTTTGCCTTCATGAACAATTTGTCACTTTTCCCTTCGGCCTGGCTTTGGCTCCAAGGGTTTTACAAAAGTCCTTGCTTCGTTTCTGGGACTCTTTTCATCGCAAGGGCATTTCGACTGTCAGATACTAAGACAACCTTTTACTTGGCCAACAGCCTCTTTTGACTCTGGAGCGCAATGTTTTGTTGGTTTGGTGAACCCTAGGTGGATTGTGAACATTGATAAGCTGTCCCCAGTTCCATTGCATTGCTTGGAATATTTGGGTCCTCTGTTCGATACCTTTCAAGCAAAGCTGTTCCTTCCTCAAGACAAAATAATGTGTTGCAAAATCAAGGTCAGTCACTTTGTTCACATCGCCTTTCCTTTCTGAGAACCTGTAGTTCCATTCCAGAACTTGACATGGGAACATTCTTACACCATGGAAAAAAATCTCAATCTCTGGACAAGATGATCAGATTGAGTGCCCTGGCCAGGATGTCTCACTTGTGGTTTTTGACATCCACTGCCTTAAAAGCAGGAAAGCAATTTCTTCCCATAACTTAGAAGATTGTCACAATGGATGCCAGTCTTGTGGGATGAGGCGATCTTTTGAACCATCTGTATGTGCAAAGTTGTTGGTCTTCTTCCTCCCACACTCTACAAAAATATGCTGGTGGGTTAATTGGGTCCTATGTAAATTGGCCCTAGTATGTGTATGCATGTGAGGTCTTACATTGTAAGCCCTTTGAGGGCAGGGACTAATGGGAATGTACAGCATGTAAAGTGCTGCATAAATTGGCATCGCTATAAAAATGCCTGAAATGAATAAATATCATTAACATTAGAGGTGCACCAAAATGGAAATTTTAAAACTGCCCACACACCGCTCTGCCGGACTGTGATAGGCAACAGAGCGGTGTGGGAGGAGACGCGGGCCGCTCACAGCGCTCTCCACCGCAGCGCTCGGCCGGCTGCCACACTTTCTCTCCTACCCGCTGGGACACAGAGCAGCGCCCAGTGGGGAGGAAAGAAATCAGGGATGCGTCGATGTATTGGCAGGAAAATGGCACTTTCGCCATTATGCCAAAAGTGCAATTTTCGGCCGATATGTTTCGGCGGCCGATATATCAGTGCATCCCTAATTAACATTGCATGTACTACAGCAAAACAACGTTTGTATGAACAGAAAAACAAACTTATGACCTTCAGGGACTAAGCTCGATAGCTGTGATATCAGAAAACGTTTAGATATGAAAGATTTTACAACTGACATTATTTTTGATGATAGTTATATTTTGCTGGATGAGAGTCTTTTGTGTTTATGACTAAAGACTAAATAATCATATCTTTTATATTTCCTTTTCTTCTTTTTTTTAGAGAGAAAATGGCATTTTTCACCCGGCCAAGAATAAACATTCCCACTCTTGCTGCAGATGATGTTTAATGTTGACCATAAAAGTATTTTGTGTTACTGTTCTGAATGCCACTACAGCAGAAAACACAGTTAGATGTGTCTGAAGTAATATGTTGTGGCGTTATGAAGGTACAGAGTTTGTTGATATGTGTTAAATCTTCAAAGTTTTACGAGAAAACCATTTCCTACACTAATGAAAAATAACAAGAATTGACAGTTTATTTTCTGTATTTCTACGTTTGTACAGTTTGTATAATAAGAATCATATTTTGTTGGAGGAGAAAAAAAAGCATATTTTACGATCCACTGTGCTGTTCAAGAAAGATGACTTTTGTATAGAAGAATGCTTGAGAGCTAATATTGCAATAAAAGTAATTTAATTAAACCAAGTTTTACCCTACAACCTTAATAAATAAAAAAATTGCCGTAGCCTATACATGGTACGTTCTACTGATATCACTTTTCTCATGAAGCGTTTTATACTACATTTTAGGAGACCGTAGGACAAGAATACAGGTTTTATTACATGTTAAGCTTTGGGCATTATTTGAGATGCTGTAGTACTCTGGGGTTCTGGTGAAAAGAAAAAAATGTTAATCAAGTGACTTATCACCAACTGACAAAAACACATCCGCTTTAAGGTCAAAATCATCTTTTTTTTAATAAAAATCATTTTTGATGATTTTGTAATCTCGTGTCTCATTGCATTAATGAAGTTTTATTGTGTTTTAAATTATCCATGGCTATTAGATTTCCACCACTTAGTACAATGACTATCAAGTGGATATAAATATCTGCAACAGATAACTTAGATCTGCCAGTGCCAGAATAAAAGATTGGTCTGGATTTATTCTTGTTCTCTGTTCCTTCAAAGAGAAACTGCAAATGACAGCCTATCTATACATTTTGGGATATGTGAATGGATAGGGATAACATATATTCATTTAGAATGCAAAGGTTTTTTGGTTGGTTGGATTATTTCTTAAAGAGACTCGAAAATTCGAAATAAAAATTAAAAACAAAAAGCTAATTTAATAGATTTGTAACTTACCTGTTCAGACACCTGTTTGCAGCATGTTCACTCTGTTGCAGAGCCACAAAGACCTTCACTTCTGACACAATTCCTGATGTTTCAGATGCCTGGGTCCCCCTCTGTGGCTGCTTCTGTCAGTCACTACTGCATCCTGTATTGATGTTGGGGTCAGCAGTAGGAACCACATAGTGCGGCAGAGGTGCAGGAATACGGCACACTAGGAAATGTTTCAGATGTGAGGATTATGAAAAATGTATAGCAAGGCAACAATGTATAGCAAGGTCATGCTGCTGTGTATACGAGAGTCTGGACAGCAAACAAAAAAAGCGTAACCAGCCTGGTATGAACCCTCCCACTGGCAGCATGCCTAAGAGGATGGATATATTTTTGTCTACTGAGAAAAGTTTATCCTTTTTTTCTACTGAGAAACATTTTCTAGCTATTTTTTTTTTCTTTTCACAAGATTATTTTTGTTTTTGAGGACTTCATCTACAAGCTACTTGAGCCTGTTTCTTTGGCTGTCTGGCGTATCCTTACCAATAGCTCTAGAGGCCGCTGCTGGACTGGACAATTGCAATTGCAGGGTCTGCCTAGAATACAAATTTTAGGCACTGGGCTCTGCTTGTGGTGCTTTTTAGACCGTTCTCTACTGTGTGTTCGTGAGCTACAGAGCGCTTTCCAGGCACAGACCCATTGCACCCATTTGGTGTGACCCATCTCTGAAGACTTTGTTTATTGGAACTGTTGGGTGGCATAATTATCCACTTCATGGAAAGGGAAAAAACGTTGAGGAATTAAGTGCTGTGTCACGAGGTAGAGTGTTGCACTCGCACATTCTGTGTTCTTTTCCTGACATTTAGTGTGTAGTAACACTGTCCTGCCACTGCTTCTAATTGCAAAAAGACATGTTTCTACCTCTGTTAGTCCTTTCTGCTGCCTGTAGTGACTTGGTCACCTGTGGCCTCTTGAACCTGTCCTACGCCCAGCAGTCAGTTTGTAAGTATTCAAGGTTTTTCTTGTATTACACCTGGACTAGATGGTTTCTGGTCCCCAAGTTGCCATTGCTACAGGACAAAACTCAATGGCAACTGGGAATAATGCAGGAAGCAGCGAAAGTCTGAAACCAGCGGGTGGCAGCCATGACTGAGTGTAACAACCAGCTACACAGTACAACAAACTCGAGAGGAACCAGTGAAACAGAAGGGTAACACTGGTGAGATAAGATAACTGGAACAAGAGAGATCAACTAGCTTCTAGAGAGGTGGGCTGTGGAACCTTAGCTTAGATGTACATATTGGCTAGAGAGGAAGCACAGTGCATGGCTCTATGAGCTGATGCAGGATGTGCGCTGAGAGAGGCTGAGTGGAGCTCTAGTCAACATTGTCCACTCGCCCAAAGGATAAAATTCAAAATATTAACAGTCACCTATAAAGCCATCCACAACTCTGCCCCCGGATATATCTCAGACCTTGTCTCAAAGTATCACCCTAAACGTCCCCTCCGCTCATCCATTGACCTCCTGCTTTCCAGCTCCCTTGTCCACTCCTCCCATACTCGCCTCCAGGACTTCTCTAGAGTCTCTCCCATCCTCTGGAACTCCTTACCCCAACCTGTCCATCTATCTCCCACCTTGACTGCCTTTAGGCGTTCCCTAAAGACTCATCTCTTTAGGGAAGCCTGCATAGAGCTCCACTCAGCCTTGTGGATGGCTTTGTAAGTGGTTGTGTCACGGGGGCCACGTACCTGAGGTGAGACCAAAGTAGTGGGGAGGCCTCCCTTGCACCTCGGGTCCTTGAAGTCTCTGGAGACGGAGACAGAGACTTGGTGGACACAGAGTGGCACAGATCCGAGCCGAGGTCAAGTCCACTCTGGCAACGAAGTACACAATGGTTAATCAGAAGAATGGTCGAGATCCAAGCCGGGGTCGGTTCCAATCTGGCAGCTGAGTATAAAAGGGGTAAAGAAGTAAAATGGTCAAGGTACAAATCTGAGGTAAATGGCAGGCAGCAATCAAGAGTAGTCAAATAGGTTTTCAGGTCACAACAAGTTCAGACAGATCACACACTAGCACAGGAACAAGGGGGGGACTGAAGATAATCCAGCAATTTGGCAGTGTCTGGGCTGGGCTTATATAGGGAAGTAATGATTGAAGTTTGAGGTCACTTCCTGTGCGCCTCCTGGGCATTTTCAGAAAGAGGAGGGGAGGAGTTAGATTTGTAGGTGACACTAAAGGAGCACTTAGGTAGGAGGAGAACCATGAGAGTGCAGAGTCTTGTAGGCCAAACGAGTGGAGTTTTTTGAGGAGGAGTGGGTAGTCAAAAGCAGCAAAAAGGTCTAATATGAAGAGTAACAGGTAGCAAAGTTCATACTCCTTACTCTTGATGAGTCCTGCAGTTTACACATTAGTATCTCGGAGGCTTTCTGATTTATTCTATTAATAAACAAGCAGCTATTCTTGTGTTATAGTTCAACATATGCCTAAAAAATATAATCACACATATTCACATTTCTTTAATAAAGTGTTGTTTCATGTGATAAATATGTGGTATTGTTGTTGTCCTGGTGTAATCAAGGAAAATGTATTTCAGGTAGTTGTCAACTCACAGCAAATGTATTTCCTGTAGATCTGTGGGTCACTTTAAAGCTGAACTCCAGGCAGCTAGCTAAATAGACAGATGAAATAATTATACAAGAGCAGTTTTAACTGCCAAAGGATTTGTATTTGTGTCCATCCCGTTTTGAGATGTACACTGTGATGCCACACAGCTCAGTTCTATCTGACAAGGCCAGGGACCTGATCGTTCTCTGCTGCAGTTTTATTTCACTTACAGGTCTCCACCCCACCCCTGCAATGTGACTGAACAAGGAAAGGAAAAGCAGGAGACAGACGAACACATCTCTTTGTCACTCCTCCATTCACCATTCTCGTTACACTGCAACACACCTGATTGGTGCCGTGTTTTGCTTCTCCTTACCTCCCTGAGCTCTGTTGTACAGGGACTGCAGGTGATTGATATGAGGTCAAGATTTAATTTTTTTAAATATAATTGTTAAAATAAAGTCTGTTTTGTATTAACAGAACAAATGTTTTCCTTTTAATTGTTGCTTTATGGGGTAGCTTTCAGCTACCTATATAGTCATGTGCAAGTTGGCTGGCTCCTAGTTTTTTTAAGCTGGCTCCTAGTTCTGGGTGAGAGATTATTCCAGGCCTGCATTACAGATCTGGGGTAAACACTTCCCTATCCCCTCTCAGGGGCCTGAAACCAACAGTCGACAAAATTGTCCACTGCTTGAGTCTTTACATTATTATTATACAGGATTTATATAGCGCCAACAGTTTGCGCAGCGCTTACATTCCTCTCAGTCCTCATTGGTTCACGCAAGTGTTGTCCCATACTTTAACCCGGGAGGAGTTCACTGCAGTTATGCTGGATTTAATGGGCCAAATTGCATTTTTTATTGTCGACACTGACCGTAGAGGATATAAGATGTAACTCATTGACTTCCCTGGCAGAATCATCATCCAATTTCTCTGCAGCCTTAAAGTGTATCCAAATTCAAAATGTTACCTGTTGCAACTTACCAATCCATAGATGTGGTGGCTGCATTTTTCTCTGCACATCACTGATTCCTTTGCTTTGCTATGGGTTCTCAGCACTTGTAATGAGCCCAGGTTTTGTGCATACTTAAGCCCGCTCAAAAGTGTGACTTCCAACCTCTCCTCCCAGGCCAATGAGTTGCAGAGAGGTACATTCCCCTCCTCACAGCTATACATTACAAATGCCACCACCGCAACTGCCTCCACTGATTGGGCCAGGAGGAGGGAGTGGTGGCCACAGTTTTGAGCGGGCTTGGCAAACTGGATTCCCTTCAAGCACGGGCTCATCTCTACTACGCACTTCCACTTTGTGGCCCTGTCATTCAGTCAGTCCTCCGCACCCTGCATTTTCACCAAGGTTCTAGCCCCTGAGCTTGTCTTGTTACACATTTAAAGGGCATCCTCATTGTAGGGGTACCTGTGGACCTCCTTTTTAGGGATGTGCTGATACCGAGTATTTAGGTACTCGCCCAAATGCTCCGATACCAGAGCTTCCGGTCAGAGGGAAATTTCTGACCACTCCTGACCCCTGCACTCTGCTTTACATATACTGACCTCTGCACTCTGCATTACTTACTAATGGCCTCTGAACTGTTACTTCTGACCTGTGTTGCTTACTACTGCCCTCGGAACTCTTACTACTGACTTTCTGAACTCCTGTGTTACTCCGGACCCCTGCACATTGCATTGTTTACTACTTACACCTGAACTATGCATTACTTACTCCTGTCTCCTGCACTCTGCATTAGTTATTTCTGACCCCTGCAATATGCTTTACATACTACTGACCACTAAACTCTGCATTACTTACTCCTGGACTCTGCATTACGTACTTCTGACCCCTACACTCTGCGTTACTTATTACTGACATTTGAACTCTGCTTTACTTACAACTGATCCCTGCACTCTGCATTACTCACTACTGACCCTTGAATTCGGCATTACTTACTACTGACTTCTGCACTCTGCGATAGTTACTCCTGACCCCTGCATTCTGTTACTTACTACTGAACTCTGCATTATTTACTCCTGACTTCTGCACTT